ATTCATGAGAGACAAAGAGAAAGAGAGGGGGGTGGCGCAGAGACACAGGCAGAGGGAGAAGCGGGATCCATGCAGGGAGCTCAATGTGGGACTTGATCCTGGGTCTCCAGGATCATGCCCTGGGCCGAAGGTGGTGCTAAACCACTGAGCCACCCGGGCTACCCGTCATGAAAAATCTTAAGCCAGAAATGCCCAGCCTAGCTACTGCTTAATCCTTTATCCACAGAAACTGTGAGCCATAATGAATATTTGTTGTGTTTTAAGCCGCAGATCAATTTAGATGTGATCTGTTATCAGCAATATTCATCCTTTGAATGAATAATACGGGCTGTTGATTCCCAAATCATTCTCACAAGTATACAATATGTGAATTGGGCAATGGAGACATCCTTACATAAGCAGTAAACAACACATAGATACATTTGGAAAATAAAATGTCATGTAATATGAGAGTGTTGTACTTGCCAAAGGAGGAAAAGAAGGCTTCACAGTAGGCATGGTTGGTGGAGGTGGAGAATAAAAATGACTTATACTTTGGAATGGCATTGAAATGTAAATTCTTTTTTTTTTTAAGATTTTATTTATCAGAGAGTGACAGAGCGCGCATGTGCAAAAGCACAAGTAGGGGGCAGAGAGGGAGGGAGAAGCAGGCTCCCCTGTGGAGCAGGGAGCCCAGTGTGGGGCTGGATCCCAGGACCCTGAGATCATGACCTGAGATGAAGGCAGGCTCTTAACCAACAGAACCACGCAGACGCCCCTGTAAACTTTTCCTTTTGTATATTCTTCACCAGTTTTTCAACTTTTGGGGAGATTGCCCTCAAACTGAGCTTAAAAATATAGTGCAGCAGAGCATCTTTAGCGTAGCACAAGCTGAACAAGAGCACTTTAAGGGTTGTCTGGGTGGTTCAGTGGTTGAGCATCTGCCTTCGGCTCAGGTCATGATCCTGGGGTCCTGGGATCAAGTCCGGCAAGAGGCTCCCTACAGGGAGCCTGCTTCTCCCTCTACCTGTCTCTGTTTCTGTCTCTCTCTTTCCAAGTCTCTGAGGAATAAAGAAAATACTTAAAAAAAAAAAAAACAACACTTCAAAATGGGCAGAGTAAACCCATGTACACAGTGGATCAGAGGGTCAGAGGAGATGTCCCCTCTTTGCCATGTGGCATATGTGCTCAGAGTACACTGCTGGGGCTGGTCCAAGCTTGCTTTGTTTTGAGAACCTTTATTATTTGTTTTTAATACTTGAATTATTTCAACATCAGTTTCAAAATTATATTTAAAACATTACCTGAAGAGGGTGCCCAGGTGGCTTGGTTGGTTAAGCATCTGCCTTCAGCTCAGGTCATGATCTCAGGGTCCTGGAATCAGAGCCCCGCTTCAGGCTCTTTGCTCTGTGGGGAGTCTGCTTCTCCCTATCCTCCCTGCTCGTGCTCTCTGTTACTATCCCTGTCTCTCTTTCAAATAAATAAAATAATTTTAAAAATAAAAATTAAAAATTACCTGAAGAGACCAAAAAAACCCTTTTGATTAAAGCCATGTTACCTGTTGGCTTGTGATCCAAAGGTTTCAATCATAATTATCAAGTGAGGTGTAGTCTTTCTGAACATCTTGAAAAATCTAGTTGTGATAGCCTGTTTTTCAGATGTATGGTAGCTTCAGGAGTTGTGACTGATACACATGGTTAGTACAAATGAGATAATAGCCTAGGAAATAAGCCCCCTTTTCCTCATCTAACTTTTGGCAATTCTTACTTATTGATAACTTATTTATTAAAAATCTGATCATAGTATGTTTGGGGTTGATCACTTAATTATGGACATTTTTATGCTTTTTAAGTTACTTACCTAAATACCATTTATGGAACCCTCTCTTTGCCAACAGGTTAATATTTTGTTTAAAAAGAGGATAATTAAAATGTAAACATTGACAACACCAAGTGTTGGCAAGGATGTAGAGAAGCTAGAACTTTCTTTCCTATGTGGCTATGGGGGTGTAAAATGGCACGCTTCACTTTGGAAAAACAGTTCGGCAATTTCTGTAAGTTAAACACAGAAGTACCACACAACCCACCTGTTCTACTTTCTTGACATTAGTCATCCAAGAGAAGCCAGAACACTTGTCCACGTGAATACTGACACATAAATACTCAAGGCAGCTTGAGTATTCATTATAGTCCAAAAGTGGAAACAACCCACATGTCCATTAACAGGTGAATGGACTAACAAAATGTGATCCATCCATACAGCAGGATACTACCCAGCAGTAAAAAGGAACAAATTACTGATACGTGTAGCAACATGACTGCTCAGAAGCATTGTGGGAGTGAAACAAACCAACCCAAAAAAAGCGTACTATACAGTCCCCATTTGTATGGAATTCTTGGGCAAACAGATGAAGCCCTTAGGACATAACAGCAGGCTCCACATCCGTGGTTGTGGGAGAGTTGGGTGGGGTTGGTGGTGTAAGGAGTGCAAGTGACTGGCAGGTGTCAAAACTCATTCAACAGTGTACCTTAAGTGGGTGTATTTTATTGCCTAAAGCTGTACCTCAATAAAGTTGATTTTGAAAGTAAACATAGGGGCAGCCCGGGTGGCTCAGTGGTTTAGCACTATCTCAGCCCAGGGCCTGATCCTAGGGACGTGGGATCGAGTCCCACATCGGGCTCCCTGCATGGAGCTTGCTTCTCCCTCTTCCTGTGTCTCTGCCTCTCTCTCTCTGTCTCTCATGAATAAATAAATATAATTTGTTTTATTTTTTTTAAAAAAGTAAACATAGGGGCACCTGGGTGGCTCAGTCAGTTGGGTAAGTGTGGTGAGATCAAGCCCCCTCAGGTTCTGCACTGGGCATGGAGTCTGCTTAACTCTCAGTATGGGGCAGCCCGGGTGGTTCAGCGGATTAGCGCCGCCTTCGGCCCAGGGTGTGATCCTGGGGACCTGGGATTGAGTCCCATGTCAAGCTCTCTGCATGGAGCCTGCTTCTCCCTCCACCTGTGTCTCTGCCTCTCTCTGTTTCTCATGAATAAATAAAATCTTTAAAAAATAAGAAAAATTTAAAAATCTCCGTATGGATTTTTTTATCCATTTTTTTTAAAGCCCAGCATTGGGATAGAAAATACAATATGGATATTTTTGAAGTTTTGTGTATGAAATGGACTAGAATATATGCTTATCAAGTTTTTAAGTTGCTAATATCTTAAATTTAATACCATTATCTTTTAATAAAAGGGTAAAAAGTTTTATTTATGCTTTTTTAAAAGATGATTTATTTGAGAAAGCACGGGTGGGAGGAGGGGCGGAGGGAGGAGAGAGAGGGAGAAGCAGACTCCCCGCTGAGCAGGGAGCCCAGTGCATTGTGAGATTATTGCCTCATTGATCAGACTCACTGAAAACGGGGAGATACTGCATTGTACTTGTCTTAAATATTAGCTTCAGTGTCTCAGATTATAGCCGGCATAGCGAGGGCAAGTGAATTTTCATGATATGGTGGTGTTGAGCATGTATCACTCAAAAAACTCCAGTTCCTATGAGCCCTTCACAACTGCCCTACCATTCGTCCTCTGTCACTTGCTCACATTGGGATCTCTAGCACGTAGTTTAGTTACTTCATTCACAATGCTCCATTGCCACTGTTGCTTCCAGCCTTTCAGGCAGGCAGGAAAAAGCGGACATGGTCAGAAGGAAAGTGATAAGGGCCAGACGAGGCTTGGGTTAATGAGATGTTGAGAAAAATCTGGGGGCACCCCATTGGCTCAGTCAGTGGAGCATGTGACTCTTGATCTCTTGATCTCAAGGTTGTGAGTTTGAGCTTCATATTGGGTTTAGAGATGACTTAAAAAAATAAAAATCTTTTTAAAAATCTGGAGAGGCAGTTGAAATGGTGAGGAGGATGCAGACTCTTCATAGGAAGACAACGAAAGATGTGTGGGCTTTTGAATTTGGAAAGATGCTGTCTCTGGAGGGTGATAGCGTGCAATAGAAGTGTGAGGAAGCACCGAGTTGTGTATAAATCCCACTCACAACAGACCTTGGTTGTTGTCAGGGCTGTGGCTGGGTGCCATGGGCTGGGACCTGTAGCTGCCAGGGCCAGAAGTCTTTTGAAGTCTCATTAGTTAGAGGGTCCCTGGTGTAAGTTTTCTGTCCAGTAAATATTTTGTATGTAACATTATTGTAAGTTAGAGGAAAAAGTCTGTCAATTTATCACTTTTGTAAGATTTGTGGAATTTTAGAGAAAGAAGGGGATACAACCAAATAAGTGATCGTGAAGGCTGGGGCTGGCAGCTTTTTGTTTTTCTCTGCTCGTGTAAGGGGGTGGAGAAGTAGTTAGACGTGGAGTTGGGTGGGCCACATTTGTTGTGAGAAATGGGAGTGTGACCTGCATTCATGGGGTACCTAGAGCATAGACACTGCCTAGAATCCAGAGTTGAGGTAGAGTGTCACATGAGTGGGGCCTGAGCCACGGGGCCCCAGGTAGCAGCCACTACTGGGAGGGTGCTAGACCAGTCTAGAGCCTGGGTATGTCGGAGCCTGCCGGACCCTCACCCAGAGAGCTTTTGCAGTAATTGTGCTGCTTGTGGAAGTGGCTCGTCCTCTCTATGACCTAGAGCTGAACTCACTACGTAACTCTGCCAGGAGGGACCTCAGTGAGCCTGGGGAGCAGGATTTGATTTCTTCTTACTCAATGCAGTCAAAAGAAATAAGTGAGGAATTAGGTCATAGGTTTGTTTGAATAAATTGAGTGCATATGGAGAATTGAAAATTGTAAGGACAGCTGAGTTGGCCTGGAGAGACTGCACAGGGATAGGCTCGTCATAAAAAGATTGAATTTGCATTGAAGGTTTTTGTTTTCTTAAAAAACTGGAAAGGTGCTTCTGTTGGCTAAATTTTCACATTGAACAAATGAGAATACATATTAACGTGTAAATGTTACGTATTTCTTAACCTACAAGTTTCTAGTGGCTGGTGTTTTTCTAACCCATTTAAAATACTGGTTAAGCTACTCAGGGGTGATGCTGGTTTTGGCAGCATATATGCTGAAAAAGTTGAATAATGCAGAGAGGATTAGCGTGGCCCCTGTTCAAGGATGACATGCAAATTTGTGAAGCATTCCATATTTTTGTATGTTAAATGTACTGGAATTAACATAAAATGAAATAAAGTTAAAAGGTGTAAAATAAAGTTACATCCCAGGGATGTTCACTTTGAAAGGATTCATTGAGACATAGACTGATGTACAGTTTTCTGTATGTAAGATCTACTTACCTGGGTGGCCCTGCATTAAAGCACACCTGCCTTTGGCCCACGGCGTGATCCTGGAGACCTAGGATCGAGTCCCACATCAGGCTTCCTGCATGGAGCTTACTTCTCCCTCTGCCTATGTCTCTACCTCTCTCTCTGTGTGTCTCCCATGAATAAATAAATAAAATATTATTTTATATTATTAATATGAAATATTTAAAATATAAAAATATTTATTTATTCATGAGAGACACACACAGAGAGAGAGAGACGCAGAGACACAGGCAGAGAGAAAAGCAGGTTCCATGCAGGGCCCCTGATCCGGGACTTGATCCTGGGACTCCAGAATCATGCCCTGGGCCAAAAGGAGGCGCTAAACCGCTGAGCCACCCAAGGATCCCCAATAAAATCTTAAAAAAAAAAAAAAATCTACTTCAATGCAGTGTTCTTAATTACAATATATATTAGCATATATGGAAGATATACCTAAATTACTTATGGCAGCTGCAGGTCATCCTGAGCAGCTGAATGTCTCCTCCGTGATCTTCTCATTGTTACTGTGAGCCACTGGTACAGAGAGGAGACCAAATACTGTTTGCTTAAGTTGTAAAGTAATGAAATTAATGTAAATTGAAAGATTTAGTGAATGGACATAACTTTTCTTGAGTCAAAAATACTATTAACAAGTTAAAGTTCTGAAGGTTTCAAAAAAAGAAGTCTTTTTTTTTTTGTAGTAATTAGAAAATCTCTGTAGGTGGAAATTAGTAACCCTTTTATTAGAGTTTTAAAAAAAGGTTTGGGCATTTTAATGGTTCTGCCAGAAATTTTTTTGGGGGGGGTGGAGGGTGGGGAATAAACGAATTTCTTTTCAAATGGAAGTTTCTGTAGTTTGGCAGTTTCCAGTGTCTAGTTTTGAAAAGGGGCTTGCTCCATATTGTTTCCTCAGGAAACAGGGTGGGGGTTCCAGTTGAGATTGTTGAACAAATTCTGATTCCATTTTTCAAGAATGTGCTTGAATACCTTAAGATCTGGGGAAGCCTGGAGTCGGTGGAACAGGGGTCACAGAAGTAGGGAAGTTAAAAGGGTTCCTGAGGGTACAGATGAACCTAGTTGGAGAGCAGTGGTCTAGGGAGGGACTGTCGGCTGCCACGGTCAGCACAGAAGGGACGGGAGAAAGACGGGCGTGGCTGGGACTGGGGCTCTGCTCTCTCGTCAGTGCTGTGCCCTACACCTGTCTCTTCCCCTTTCCCCTGCGGTTCCTCGCCCTGAGTGGGCCTCCTCTGCTCTCCACACAGATGTGTTCTGAAGCTTAGGTCATATAATGCATGTAACGTGCCCAGCATGGTGGTTACACACAGGTAGTGTGCGTGTGCTCAAGAAGAGTGTGCTTTACTGATGTTGGAAGCCGAGGACTCTGTGTCCTGCTTTGCTGCATGTGCAGTCTGACCTGTGGCAGATTGTGTGAACTACTCTGTGCTTGTTTTCTCATCTCTAGACCGGGGATACAGTAGTACTTGATAGTGTTCCCGTGAGGCTCAGATGAATTCACTAATAGAAGGTACCTAGTCCAGTGTGTGGCACGTGATAAGCACAATAAAAATGCCTGATGCTATTATTTATCATCATTAACAGAGAATAGGAACATTCCTTCCAATTCTACCAGTTGCCACTCTTCTAGATTTTACCTTTTTGTATTCATTTCCCATTTATAATTTTGTCGATAACAGGTCAATCCTTGAGGTAAATTATGGTGTTTTTAATGAAGTGTTTGTATTTTTAGAATTTTCTCTATATTTCAGCTTCTCAAGACCAAGTGGCAATGAAGATGACATTTGTCCTCTAGTGTCACCTACACACTTTAGGTGGTCTATCTTCAAAACATGTGACATCCCCATTTATTCAGATATACCCTTAAATAACCAGTCCAAAAGAGGAAAAGAGGAATGTCCTTTTTAATACACTTTTGCAAAAATTTGCTCAGTTGGGTCTCTTATTTTGTTTTTTAATTCCAGATAAAATACAGAGTTGCAATATTAGTTTCAGGTGTACAATGCAAGGATTTAACTCTTCTATCCATGACCCGGCTCAACAAAATAAGTGTCCTCTTAGTTCTCATCACCTTTTCCCCTTCCTCCCCCCTGGTAACCATTAGTTTGTTCTCTGTGGTTAAGAGTCTGTTTTCTGGTTTGTCTCTTTTGTCTTTGTTCCTTTGTTTTGTTTCTTAAACTCCACACGTGAGTGAAATCATATGGTATTTGTCTTTCTCGGACTTACTTTACTTAGCATTATACTCTCTAGCTCTATCCATGTTGTGCAAATCGCAAAGTTTCCTTCTTCTTTGTAGCAGAGCAGTATTCCACTGAATTCAGGCCACATCTTCTTTATGCATTCATAAAGATAGTGGACATTTGGGTTGCTTCTGTATAAATAATGGCTTTTATAAATAATGCTGTTATAAACATAGGGGACAATATATCTTTTTGAATTAGTGTTTTTGTACTCTTTGGGTAAATACCCAGTAGTGGAATTATTATATCATATGCTAATTCTATTTTTGTTTATTTTTATTTTTGTTTATTTTTATTTTTTTTTAATTTTTATTTATTTATGATAGTCACACAGAGAGAGAGAGAGAGAGAGGCAGAGACATAAGCGGAGGGAGAAGCAGGCTCCACGCACTGGGAGCCCGATGTGGGATTCGATCTGGGGTCTCCAGGATCGCGCCCTGGGCCAAAGGCAGGCGCTAAACTGCTGCGCCACCCAGGGTTCCCTGTTTATTTTTAATTTATTCTATTTTTTTTAAGAAAGAGCATGAACAGAGAGGTGGGGGAGGGGCAGAGGGAGAGGGAGCAAGAGAATCTTAAGCAGGCTCTGTGCTGACATAAGGCTTGATTTTGAGACCCTGAGATGGATGATGACCTGAATGGCTATCAAGAGTCAGATGCTTAATCGACTGAACCACCCAGTTACCCCAATGGTAATACTATTTATAATTTTTTGAGGAAACTCCAGCTTTCCACAGTGGCTGTATCAGTTTGCATTCCCATAAGGTGGGTCCCTTTTTAATATAGTATCTAGTTGTTTAAAAAGCTGTTACTTAATAAAAGCTGTCAACAAGTAAGAATAGTTCTTTTTTAAAAGATTTATTTATTTATGATAGAGAGAGAGAGTCAGAGACACAGGAGGAGGGAGAAACAGGCTCCATGCCGGGAGCCCAACGCGGGACCCGATTCCGGGACTCCAGGATCGTGCCCTGGGCCAAAGGCAGGCGCTAAACCACTGAGCCACCCAGGGATCCAAGAATAGTTCTTATGTACAATTATTTTGTATTATTCTAACTTCTAGGGGCGCCTGGATGGTTCAGTTGTCGAGCATCTGCCTTTGGCTCAGGGCATGATCCCAAGGTCCTGGGATTGAGTTCCACATTGGGCTCCCCGAAGGGAACCTGCTTCTCCCTCTGCCTATGTCTGCCTCTCTCTCTCTCTCTCTCTCTGTCTCTTGTGAATAAATAAAATCTTTTTTAAAAAAATAGTATTATCCTAACTTCTAGAAGGGAAGCTATTTTAAGATCCTGATGTGTATGTGTTCTGACACTAGAGAAGAATAATTATGCAGATATGCAGATAAACCTACATTCTAGCCTGAGCATGTTTTGTTCCCTGTAGGTTGGAAATCCACGTGTAGAACTCACCCTCTCAGAGCTCCAGGATATGGCAGCTAGGCAACAACAGCAAATTGAAAATCAGCAGCAAATGTTGGTTGCCAAGGTGAGTTGTAAAGCAGAGGTGGGAAAATGCTCAAAAAGAATGTTCTTCAGCGGTTATTTTATTTTTTTTATTATTATTTTTTTTATTTACGATAGTCATAGAGAGAGAGAGAGAGAGAGAGAGGCAGAGACACAGGCAGAGGGAGAAGCAGGCTCCATGCACCGGGAGCCTGACGTGGGATTCGATCCCGGCCAAAGGCAGGTGCCAAACCGCTGCACCACCCAGGGATCCCCTTCAGCGGTTATTTTAGATTGGAGTTACTGCATTCACGGGTACCACTTGAACCATGTCACGGAAGTATTGAACAGTGTCTTTGTCTTTGTGATCTCTTCCGTAACGATAAATGAGTACTGCAGCTTCTTGAAGTTAGGAAGGTATCAGAACAGGACTCTTGACTCGCACATTCAGACTCCCCAGAATAGAAAATGGTTGACCTTCATTCATCAACTGGAGATAAAATTTGGATGAAGACACTGTTCATGGGCCCCTGAGACAATGACAGTGGGTTATCCAGGCTTCCCTTTATGCCACTACACAGAGTTTGTTTGGTTTATTACGATGCAGGGGAGTTAACACTTTTTATGTACACTGAGTTCTGCATTTGTCGTTGAAATGCTGTGACAAGATTTGAAATTATTCTTGTCACGGACTAAAAAAATCAGACCACTTACGCATGCTGGAGAGTATTCGTGTTGTGTAATGATATTGAATGTTCTGAAACTGCTGTGAAAAACTGTGAGATAAAGAAAATACGTAAACATTTCTGCCAGGGTTCTTGTTGCTTCCTCATAGAGAAAGTTGCCTGAGAACCACTTTTCTCACTGAGTGGGCATAGAATTCATTGTACTAGTCACTTCTTCATGGTATGTAACAGCATAAATTGAATTTGTTTTTAAAAGTTGTCTGGCAGGGATCCCTGGGTGGCGCAGTGGTTTGGCGCCTGTCTTTGGCCCAGGGCGCGATCCTGGAGACCCGGGATCGAATCTCACGTCGGGCTCCCGGTGCATGGAGCCTGCTTCTCCCTCTGCCTATGTCTCTGTCTCTGTCTCTCTCTCTGTGACTATCATAAATAAATAAAAAATTTAAAAAATGCATCTTTAAAAAAAAAAGTCTTGCAAATTTTATTGGATTTACAAGAATAAAAAATAAGAGTTAAGTAAAAATTGGGAAGTATTTCATCCCATTAATATTTCTAGGATGAAATGTACATAGTATTATGCAATTATAACGTTTCTAGTTTAGCTTTTTCTTTCCAAATATTGATCCCGAGTATTACTAATAAAAAGATTCTTGAGTATTTTCTGCAGTGTAAATGATAAGTTAAATCTAACACAAGTATGTGCTTCACATATTCAAGTATGTGTTTCCTTACTTTAGAATGCAATGTGTGACTTGTATTGTCACACTTAATCCTCTTTACTTCGGTCTATTTTATGTCTATGTGTGGGACCATGAATATTTTATGTCCACTGTTACCCTCAAAGCGTGTTTTTATATGAATAGGAAAAAGGCTATTGAAGAGTACTGCATATATATATATATTTTTTTTTTAAAGATTTTATTTATTTATTCATGAGAGACACAGAGAGAGGCAGAGACACAGGCAGAGGGAGAAGCAGGCTCCATGCAGGGAGCCCAATGTGGGACACCCTGAGGCAAAGGGAGACGCCCAACCTCTGAGCCACCCAGGTGTCCCTGTACATATTTTTATTTTAGGACTGTCCTGCTCTTGTTTGCAGAATTTTTCATTAGTTTTCTTTTTTTAAAGAAATCGGTCTTAAAAAAAAAGATTTTATTTATTTATTCATAGAGACAGAGAGAGAGAGGGGGGCAGAGACACAGGCAGAGGGAGAAGCAGGCTCCATGCAGAGAGCCTGACATGGGACTCCATCCAGGGTCTCCAGGATCACGCTGTGGGCAGTGCTAAACCACTGTGCCACCCGGGGCTGCCCTTTTTCTTTTTCTTTTTCTTTTTCTTTTTCTTTTTCTTTTTCTTTTTCTTTTTCTTTTTCTTTTTTGCCCTTTTTCATTAGTTTTGAAGAAACTATCCCTAAAGAAAACAAGCACTTCTTGACTATCCATTGTTACCTAGCAAATTAGAGGTTTTTTTCCTTACTGATCACCTTGTCTGTTTTCAACATAAGACCCTGTGCTGGTCAGTGCCCATTTCCTTAAAGAGGTAACTAAGGGACCTTGGGAAGCTGCTTTGTGGCAGCAGGAAACGTTGACCTGACAAGCAGGAAACTAGGGCTGAATGGGGCTTCCCAGACAGGAAGGAGAGGAGATCGTATATGAGTGCATGGGACACACAGACTTGACGTTCTCCTGCTGGGAGATGTTCTGAGGAAGCATCTTGATAAACCAAGCGGTGTAGGTCAGCATGCCTAGTAAAATGCACTTGGAAACGTCTCAGACTCTCACTGATATGTGCCCAGTAGTGTTGGCTCTGTGTGGGCTGGTGTTTGCGAGATTGCACAAGCATTTCTCTAATATTCATTAAGATGGGTGATCCATTGGGAGCCACTCAAACCATCTACATGTATGACCGTGATCACGTGCTTCAGATCTCTCATTTCCCTGTTTCTCTCTTTTCCCAGGAGCAGCGTTTACATTTCTTAAAGCAGCAGGAGCGCCGCCAGCAGCAGTCTATTTCTGAGAATGAGAAGCTTCAGAAATTGAAAGAACGAGTCGAAGCCCAGGAAAATAAGCTGAAGAAAATCCGCGCCATGAGAGGACAAGTAGACTACAGCAAAATTATGAACGGCAATCTGTGTACGCTTGCACGGCCTCCCTCATTACCCATGCTCAGGCATGGATAAAATGAAAGAGTCCAGCTACGGACACTTTCAGACACAGACTGGTGCCAGATCTTGCTATAGGAAGTGCACTGAGGTTTTGCTCTATTACCTGCATCTAAAAGAACAGGATCAGTTAGGTTAAGTGATTTGGGAAGGTCCTTGGTTGCATTTGTAATTTATTAGCTGCCCTCTGGGCTGGGGTTGCAGGGCCATGAGACTGCGCTCATTATGAGGGTCTATTTTAATTGAACAGCTTGAACTTCATCTGGGTAGTAAGATAAACCATACAAATGCTCACTTTTTATTTTTGTGTGTGTGGATTCTTTGTTGTTTTATTATCAGTTCGTTTAGTGCCTACTTTGTGTTACAGTGACAAGCAAGACAGATTGGATACCTGCCCTTACAAAGCCTTTGCTCTGTGGCTGCATTGGGATTCCTAAGTGGCCTGGCCAAGCTAGCCTCTGGACGGGTTGTCCTCACTAAAGAATATCCAGTAATCACTGCACATAAAGTTTACCATGTGGGCAGTCACATCATGTGTTCCAGAGGCTTGTTGAAAAGTGTGTTGGATTATGCATATCACAGTTCTCCCCCCAAAGTCTGGCACTAGATGACACTAGAGTTGAATGTATAGAAATGAAGAAATCACAAAGCCAAAATAACAAAATACTCTGCGGAAGAAAAAAAAAAAAAAAGACTATCAACTAAGATATGTTTTTTTCTTTATTGCTGGGAAATTATAGCTGCTGAGATAGAAAGGTTCAGCGCCATGTTCCAGGAAAAGAAGCAGGAAGTACAGACTGCAATTTTACGAGTTGATCAGCTCAGTCAGCAACTAGAAGATTTAAAGAGAGGCAAGCTGAGCGGGCTTCAGTCTTACAGTGGCAAGCTGGCAGGACCGGCAGCAGCGGAGTTGAAGAGACTGTGCCAGGAGCTACAGGTGACTCGCAGGGTTTGGGGAACACTGACTTTAAGCATCTCTCAGGCTTTCTTCCTAATGTGGGCCGAAACCTCAGAAAGTGGAGACAAGTGAATGGCTTCTAGGGTAATAGTAGGCACAAACTGTGCTTACTACAAAGAGTTTTTAAAACAGCTTTAAGATATAATTCATATGGTATACAATACACCCATATACCGTGTACAATTAAGTGGTTTTTAGTATCTTCATAGAGTTTTGCATCCGCTACCACAGTCAGCTTTAGAACATCTTCATCACCCCCAAAAGAAGCCACGTGCCTCTTTGCCATCACCCCACCACCCCCTATCCCTAAGTAACCATGAATCTACTTTCTATTTCTCTGGATTTGCCTATTCTGGAAATTTCATATGAGCAAATCATACAATATTTTGATTTTTTGTGACTGGCATCTTGCATTTAGCATGTTTTCAGTAAAGAAATTCAGTACAGAATTTAATTGACAATGTAATGAACTAGAGAAAAAAATTAAGCTTTAGATGATATTCAAGGTCTCTGTGCTCACTGTGTTTTGATGAGATAGATGCCTGTTGTTACATCCTTGTCCCACTAAGCTGGGGCCACTCTGACAGACCTGCACAGCCTGGGGGACTGAAGCACAGACACTGACACTGATTTCTCACAGCTCCCGGGTCTGGGTCCAGGATCAAGTTCCTGGTGAGAGTCTGCTTCCTGGCTTCTTGCTGTGTCCTCACAGTTTGGTTCCTCTCCTTCATCTTATAAGGGTACTAACCCCATCATGGATACCCCACCCTCAGAACCTCATTTCAGCCTGCTCACTCCAGAGGCCCCACCTCCCCATACCATCACCTTGAAGGTTAGGGCAACTTATAGGTTTGGGGAGGACACAGACATTCAGTTCAGAACAGCCCTCAAGATTTCCATTTCTCAGAAGTTATTCAGCAGGTGATTTTCCAAGCCACAAAGAAGTTCTACAGTTCTGTTAGCACTTGCCAGAAAAATTATTCTATCATTTTATGAAATGAAAATATTTAATTACAGAGAGTAAAATGCTTTTGTTGCCATTAAGTTCTCTAACATAGGTGCATAGAAATAAAATGTAGGAATTTTAAGCAATTGTTAAAAGTACAGAGTTTTTTATTTTATTTTATTTATTTGAGAGCGAGAGAGTAGCAGAGGGAGATGGAGAAGCAGGCTCCCCACTGAGTGGGGCTCGATCCTAGGACCCCAAGATCATGACCTGAGCCAAAGGTAGACACTTAACGACTGAGCCACCCAAGTGCCCCAAAAGTTTTTAAGGATATTTGTGGTGAGGTGTGATTAATGTAGGATATTTGCTTAAATGTATCCATTTGCAAGCTTCCTGACTAGAGTCTAGGCTGCAAAGTTCATATTGTCTCCTGTCTGGTGCACACATGTGAGTGTTCCTAGTACACGTGTGCGCCTGGAGGAACTTAATAAGCCTTAACCTTACAGTGCACATGGATGCCTTCTGTGGTTCATTTGTTTTTTTTTAAGTGCTGGTTACCATCTGCTAGAATAATACCCGTACATTCCAGCGGGCAGGCGAGACCATCTCTTGTAAATTTCCTGCTGCCTCCACGTAAGATGTTCATTCAGTGCACTGTGTGGAGTGGAGCAGACACCTGTCCTCTGGTCCCTAGAGGACATGCTCCAGGTGGGTGTCCGTGACATGCCTTCCCAGGGGCCATGGACATGGTGTCTTGCATTCATTGCTGGCACCAGTCGCTCTGGAAATAGAAAAGCTGTTCTGGCCTCATCTGTGCTATAGCTGTGAAATAGCACAGGGGAGACAGTGCATATATACAGATACACATAAGTATTTGATGTTGCTTTTTCTTCTTGTTTTACTTTCCCTGGAAATGAGCATTTGTTTAATGCAAATCATGAAAGTTGTGTTTTTATTTTCAGATTCGTAACCAGCTTAACCAGGAACAGACTTCAAAGCTCCAGCAGCAGAAGGAACTCTTAAATAAACGCAACATGGAGGTGGCCGTCATGGACAAGCGGATCAATGAACTGCGTGAACGTCTTTATGGGAAGAAAATTCAGGCATGTGAGAAAGAAAATATTTGTGTGAGATAAACTAAAAATGATTCAGCACAGAATTGCTGTGTGAATCCTCTTTCACAAAATGCTGAAAGAGGGCATTTTGCTCTCCTGATATACCACAGCTGATAAAACATACATTGGCCATAAACCATAGAAAAAAATGACAGCAAAAAGCTCTCTTTCCAAAGCTACGTTTATTTCCTGGTGTCTGGAATCCAAATCCGCACTGTCCACAGCCACAGCTGGTGTTCCCCGCCCCTTGGCCCCCATGCAGTCCTGTCCCCTCCCTGGGTGACACTCTGGCTCTGGTGTTATACTCTACCACTGTAAGCCTTGCCATGTGGGCATATTCCTTGACCTGTGTAGACTCGTGTCCTCGCTATAAACTGAGATGTCCTCCCTGCCCCAGCAGTCGTGTGGATTCTTAGAATAACCCCCATGGAAGGGCTTTGTAAACTCTCAAGCAAAGTGCTATGTAAAGGGTTAGTGTCTTTTAAAAAGCTTTGTTTGGTATTTTGACTTTTTTTTTTTTTGGTATTTTGACTTTCAAAGGTAATAAATGCTCTGAAAAATGTAAACAGTACAGAAATAATTGAAGGAAAATGTGAAAGTCCTTTCCACCCGGTTCACATTCTCCAAGGATGATAGTTTTAATGATTCTAGTCTTTTGCTTAATACAGATGAAAAGGTATTTAATTTTATTTTAAGATTTTATTTATTCATGAGAGAGACACTAAAAAAGGCAGAGACTCAGAGGGAGAAGCAGGCTCCAAGCAGGGAGCCTGATGTGGGACTTGATCCCAGGAATCCAGGATCAGGCCCTGAGCCAAAGGCAGATGCTCAACCTCTGAGCCACCTAGGTGTCCCAGTATTTAATTTTTAATTGAAAATGGAATTGTAGGAATTATATCATCCACACTGTTCTCCTCATTTTTTGTTTTAACTGCAACATAGGTATCTTCCCAGGTCATTACCTCACTCCTTTAGCAGCTTCTGTATAACATGCATGTCCCAGGGCCTCTGGCCCTTCGCCAGGCTAGGTGTCCCCCAGTCCTGCCATTACTCTTGGCATTTCAGTGAGCACGAGCATCCTCAGAGTTTGTGGGAGAAGGGACCGCTGTGCACCATATCTGGCTGGACATCACTAGTGGCGTCAGGGTTTGAAGGAAGCAGTGCCTGCGTGCAGAGCCCGAGTCGGGGGAGCAGCCATGAGCTAGCTGGGACCCTCAGCCACAGCCAGTAATTGGTGCTTTCCCAATGTGACAAGTGGCCTCTGGTCAGCTGCTGCTGCTGCTCTGAAAGCAGCTCTCGAGAGGCCAGTGTGGGCGTCTGGGCTTTGCCAGGGGTGGGTGGGTTAGGAGGGTGCCAGAGGAAGAGGCCATTGCCACTGGTTTGAGTGTCATAAGAGGTAGTGTCAGGGAAAGGCTTTATTTATAGATCAGTCTCCTCTTGTTTTTAACCAGAGGGTCAGTGGGTAATCTGTGTAACTCTGTTTTCAAATAACCGCTTTCATTTTTCTCTCAATGAGCAACTGTGTGCGTGCTCTCCACACTTGCTCACACAGCGTTCTTTAGTCGTGCTCTGTCAGGGCTCTTCTGGGAGATGGAACGAGGAGGCACAGGGAGACTGATTGATGGGTGCGGAGATTGACGTTAAGTGATTGGCTTGCATGGTTGTGGTGGCTGCGCCCCTGAACTCTGCGGCCTGGACACGCAGGGGACTCTGGGTGCTACTGCTCAGGGCGGCAGGTCATCTGCAGGCCACTTCCTTCTTTCTCTGAGCACCTCAGTCTTTGCCTCTCAAGTCCTTTGACCTGTTGCATGCAGCCCACCCACATATGGAGGGCGATCTGCTTCATTCAGTCTATTGATTTAAATGTCAGTCTTAGGTAAAACATATCTTCACAGCAACATCCAGACACGTTTGACCAAATATCTGGTACCATGGCTTCACAAGTTGACACCTAAAATTAAGTGTCACAGATGGCTAGGGAAACGTGACTTCTTGCCTTCCACCTGATAGTTCAGGTGATCTTCTTGAAGAAATTGGTGACTCTGCAGAGATGTGGCTCCACCCACAGGTCTTAGGCACCTTTGGGCAGTTGTGAAAGTCCTGGACCCTCTCCCCAAAGTGATATGCTCATGTATGCAGAATTTTGCAAACAATTCTGGGAGCTTATGGATCTCTCACAGCGTATGTGGGGGCCTGTGAGGTATCAGTGATTCTCCCGTTAGATCCCTGGTATGGACCCTCTTGTTAGGCAGCATTACATGATCACTGTTCTTGTGGCGTCCTTGCTGAGAATGGCAGAGCTGTCTTCAGGGATCTTGCCAGAGCCTCACCTGGTGCCAGGCCCTGTCACTGTGCCCTGCATGGCTTGTTCAGTCCTTACATGAAGCCTTATCTTGACTTTACAGACATGGGCACAGAGGTTTAGAGACACTAAGTCACTTGCACTTGCCCAAGGCAGCACAGTGAGTAAGCGGCAAAGCAGGGTTTGAAGCCAGGCTCAGAGCCCAGGCTTTGACTGAAGGCTCTGCTCACCTAGGGGAGGGAGAGCATCCCCCAGGTAAGAGGGCTCCATGGAGGTGTCCTGGAAGCTGTTCTGTTCTGCCGTTAGCTCTTGTCTCTCTCGGCTCACAGATGGGTAGAAGTTATCAAAGAGAGAATCACTCAGATGGGACTTGGGTTGTGGCCCTTCTTTCGATGCTTGCCCCTTCTAGGTGCTGATTTTTCAGGGTGATAGAGCTTCCTAAGGGCACATTATTTAGTGGGTGGCTCAAATGAGAGCAGTCTAGGGTGCCTGGGTGGCTCACTCAGTTCATTGTCTGCCTTAGTTCAGGTCATGATCTCAGGATCCTGGGATGGAGCCCCGTGTCAGGCTCTCTGCTCAGTGGGGAGTCTGCTTCTCCCTCTCTCTCTCTGCCCCTCTGCCTACTTGTGTGCACATGCTCACTCTCACTCTGTCAAATAAATAAATAAAATCTTAAAAATAAACAAATGAGAGAGCAGACTGTCACACTATGATTTCTTTTAATTTAGAGGAATCTTAACTCTCATTTCTTCTCGTTTTATAGCTGAGCCGTGTGAATGGCACATCGTCACCACAGTCGCCGCTGAGCACACCCGGCAGGGTTGCTGCAGTGGGGCCTTATATCCAGGTTCCCAGTGCCGGCAGCTATTCCGTCCCAGGGGACCCTGTAAAGCCCCAGTCTCTCACTATTGCCTCGAGTGCTGCCCATGGAAGATCCAAATCTGGTGAGTGGCCTGGGTCCTCACCTTGGGGGAGAGCAACTGAATAGGGAAGGGGAGCCCTGGAGGTCAGCAGGCTCAGAAGAGGCCCCCACAGTGCACCCCAGGCTCTGCCCACCCTTAGACTCCCCCAAAGCATTTTGTCTTCTGGGCAGTGTGTGGGAGTTGTGTGCCACCACAGTAATGATATGACCCCACATTGAGAACACACTCTTTATTGAGCTGAATGTCTTTACTGTGTGGCTTTTCAAAGATGAATTACTTAAGACCCGATCCTCTCATGCCACGGGTTTTGTTTACCCGTGAGGGCATTTGAGCTTGCTGCTCCTGCCAGCACAGGCATGCCTGGGCAGAGGGGCAGCCTCTCCATAAGCAGTGCACTGGGGCTGCTCTTTCCTTCTACCGCTCAGCATAGTCATGATTGATCTAGAAGTCTACAGACCATCACTTTGACCCTTGGCTGCACTGAACCGTGTGCTGTGACCAGCACCGTGCTGCCGCGTAGCTCTCCCGATGGGATGCTTCCCAAGCAAGGGCAGGTCAGGTGCTTCAGAGAGTCTCCTTGCTCAGAAGAAGGTGGTTGTTTCTAAACATTAAGAAGCAGAGCTTCTTTGCAGTGAGACTTCTTTATGCTGTGCTGGCACATTTCCCCGTAACACACGGACTCTGGGAGTGCAGTACTGCTGTGCAGCGTTCCTTCACTGAGCTGTCCTGAGGGGTGATTTCAAGTTTCATGGTAGATCCGTGCAGTCTCCTGTCTGTTTGTTCGTGTTCCCTTGCCTGGCACCTAGTCTGAGCAGCAACAGGTCTGCCCCTCCTGCAGTGGGGCACAGGGCTTCTTCTCACCCCGGCTCAGCTCTCTCCACGACTGTGTCTCAGCAGCCACAAGGAGCGCATGGTCCGTGCGAATCTCTAATGGCAGCTTTCTTGGGGAAGCTCTTATAGTTTGAACCACCCTACAGTGGGAGTAGATATATCTGTTCCAATGGCAGATTATTAGCACAGCCAGCTACTTCTCTGCTGACTTCATTTTACATGCTTCCTGAGCCGAGGACAGCTCCCATCCCCTCTTCTCTGTGGATGTGTGCTGGGCCGCCTTGCAGGCATTGCCAGGGCCCAGAGAATGTGTCCCACAGAAGTTCAGCCATTGCCTAGGTCTTTCCACTATGGTGTAAGACGATTGGACACAGGCAGGTGTGCGCGCCCCCCACACGCGGGACAGAATCTTGGCCCAGACCTGGAGCTGGGAGGAGAAATCTCCCTGGGGGGACTCTGACTCATGCTGTCGACTGTCCTTCTGGTTCCATGTCACACAGATGGCCATGGGAAGCCCAGAGTGACTGGCTTGTGGACAGTATCAGACCTCGACATCGGGCCTGACTGCAACTCCTCAGGGCACTCTGCAAACCCGTTTGCAAACCGTATGTCGGCTGGCAGGCCCAGTGGGGAACTCTGGCCCTCTCTGATGCTGCTAAATCAGCAATCCTTTGTTTTCCAAACTGACAAAGGTCTGCTCATCCCATCTAGATTTGGAAAAAATTCCACATTTCCTTCAGTAGACAGGTGTGGAGTTTGGGCTGAGCTCCTCCTCAGGAAGGGTTTCACAGGTGCTGCACAGCAAGGGGTTTTTTAATTTTCTTTTTAAGAAATTAAGATGATTTTTTTCTGAGTTCGTTAAGGACTTCAGATTTGGCTCCTATACAAGAACCCCCCATCACACTCGAAGATAACCATTGCATTATAATCTTTTATCATGCAAATAAGTGATCTTTCTTCTGCACCCCCTGCCTCACCCTGAGGAAGGAAATTCCCAGTCCTATCTTCAGTCCTTTTGTGGCTGATGTCTATAAAACCTCCCATCTCTGTGGAGTTCAGAAGCAGCTGCTGGCCACACTCCTTGAGGCCCCTGGGGCTGGCCCTCCCACCCTCCCTCCCTCCCAAGTCGGCTGGGGCTCTGTTTCCCCATCAGCCCAGAGTGGCCACCTCCGTGTATCCTTGGTGAACCCATGTGCTTCTGGCCACACGCCCCCCAGTTCTAAGGTACAACCAATGGGACATGAAGGCACACACACTTCTTGCCTGGAAGAGGCAGACCAATCATGCGGAGAAAGGCGGTAGTTTGGACTGGGGCCTCGGAATGCCTCGCCAGCACCCTTGCAGTCTGGCTAGAACCATTCTGGACCCTGCTGCCTGGAGCAGTGGGAGACTGCCCCAACGGGGCCCAGCAAGGGCGCTCTGAGGCTCTGCCCCCGTCACTGCACGAGAGGCACCCTCTGGGCTTGTTCTCAGAGCACCTGTGAGCATTTACTCAGACTGTCTCCCGAGTCGCAGTTCTTGGTGCAGGCACTGTTGCTCTAGGAAGAGTGATTTCCCTGCTGCTCGTGCTGGGTGGTGGGGGGAGGAAAGAGGAAGTGCTGTTCCTGTCAGAGGGCTGATTTCTGTTGTTCCATGGGGCTGATGGCTGGGGTCTTTCCCACTTCAGCCCAGTCCTGCATCGGTGCCTGCCGTGGAGAGAACGGGAGCCTGAGTCCGGCTAGAACCGGACTCCTGCAGATGCTGTAACTTATGTCACTATGACTGCTAGGAGGGATTGCTTCTGCACCCTTTCTCAGTTTGGAAAATGCTTTATTTAAAAACAACAAAAGAGCATCTTTTCAGCAGCTTTCCTAAAAACACGGGTTCGACTAGCTTTCTAATCACTGCAACAGAATGATAGCTTGCTACTCCAATCAATGGGAATTTGTACTGGCCTCTTGTGATCTTAAATTATTCTAACAAATTAAAGCCAAATTCTTCCTTTCATGTGCAAGTAGTACAGGTCTAACCTGTTATGAAGTCAAAAGATAAATTTTTTAAATTGCTGTATGTAATTGGTTTTATAAGTCATGTTTGAAAAGTAAGGGCCGATGCTTATTTTATTTATTGGTGTTGATGTAGTGGATTTGACCTGTATTTAGATAGGGGCCTGGGAAGGTTTCCACAGTCTGCTGGCCCCTCACCTGGGTCGCAGCAGCCCCGTGCATGGTCATCGAGTCTCTGTACACATGAGAGAGATGCCTCACCAGCACACACCACCCTCGGGTTTGCTGTGTACCAGCCTGTGTGTGGGGAGGGGGGCAGTCAGCCGCCTGGTTCATGGAGCCCCCGTCAGGATATGATCTCCCGGAAGATGATCTTTGCTTCTGGTCGAGGGTTATTAGGTGTTTGCTTCAACTAATTTGAAGAAAAAATTTATTCAAATTCTGTGTTCTTTTCAAGCCAATGATGGAAACTGGCCAACACTGAAACAGAATACCAGCTCTTCAGTGAAGCCCACGCAGATCAGCAGTATGGACTGGAAAGACCCAAGCATGGAGGGTCCCCTCAAGCAGGGGGCTGTCTCAAGCCAGCCGACGCCCTTGTCAGCTTTAGGAGCCACAGAGAAGCTGGTAGGCCGTTTGTCTTTATCACAAAACACCAACAATATCATTTCTGCCTTCATCTTCATCTAAGGGGTGACAGGTGTCATGAAGCAAATTAATCCTGTTAGTGTCTAAATATGACCGCATCTGAAGAAGTTCAAGGACCCTGAGCCAGCTGAGTGGTGTGCAGGTGTAATGCTTTGCGGTCAGGATTGTTCTGTTGCAGGTGGGCACCAGGCCCTGCCGTGTTTGATTCCCACACTGTGTCCTGTGCCTAGTCGCCTTCTAATTGGAAGGATTACAAGTCCTACTTTGTATTCTCTAATGACTATGGATAGAAATTTGCTTAACTTTTCAAAGGGTGACTTTGTTTTTCTTCTTAACATCTAAATTTAGGGCATCGAGATTGGTAAAGTGCCACCCCCCATCCCTGGTGTCGGCAAGCAGCTGCCTCCGAGCTATGGGACGTACCCAAGTCCTGCTCCCGTTGGCCCTGGCTCCACAAACTCCCTGGAGAGGAGGAAGGAAGGCAGCTTGCCCAGGCCCAGTGCAGGCCTGTCCAGTCGGCAGAAACCCGCCCCACTGCCCCCCACGGGCAGCAGCCACCCTTCGGGTTCCTCACAGCAGATTCAGCAGAGGATTTCCGTGCCACCGAGTCCCACATACCCGCCAGCAGGGCCTCCTGCATTTCCAGCTGGTGACAGCAAACCCGAACTCCCACTGACTGTGGCCATTAGGCCCTTTCTGGCTGATAAAGGGTCAAGGCCACAGTCCCCCAGGAAAGGACCCCAGACAGTGAATTCAAGTTCCATATACTCCATGTACCTCCAGCAAGCCACACCTCCTAAGAATTACCAGCCCGCAGTGCACAGCACTTTAAATAAGTCTGTTAAAGCAGGTACAGTGGGTTTGTCCTTTTCTCTTGGGGGCTAACAGACTATACTTTTCCTTAAAATGCCAACCCATAGTCTTACGTTTGGGCCACATACTATTTAGGATTAAAACTTGGATTCTTACGTACAGTGTGGCCTCAGATGTCTGTGTGAGATTGGGGTAAAAGATGACACACACGGAGCTCTCCCTTCCTATCTAAGTACCTGCCTTCCTGTGGTATTTGGGTAGCCCAGCTCCTAGAAATTCCTCTCTTTCTCCTGCTTCATGGAAACTTGTGCAGGAGCTTTCCAGGGGTTGCTGAGGGGGCTCTGCCCAGATGTGGTCTTCTCACCACCCTGGCAGTAGCTGAGCCAAGCCCCTGGAGGGAAGGCAAGGCTGTGTGTGCTGGGGGTGGGGGGGCGCTACCCCAGAGTCCACAGGGGAGAAGAGCCCTGATGTGGTGAGGGGCAATCAGCCCTGGGAGCTGAGGTGTTCTAGGAAGGCAGGTGAGAGAACAGAGCCTGGCTTCATGCATACCAGGGCAGGTGGTGACTGTGACCAGCCCACCAGGGTCCTGCGGGTCAGGCTGGGCTAGGGCCTCCGTACACATTCTTGGGCGTGTGCTTCCAGACTCGTAGGAGTGCCAAGCTCCCCCAAGCCCCAGCGGAAGCTCACTGCTTACTTGAGGCAGGGCTCTGGCCCCGTTCTCCACAGCTCCTGGGCCTGTAGGCGGAGCCTTCCTGTCCAAAGCGGCCTGTGTTTCACAGCATGAGACTGAACCTGAGGGTCACATGCTCTGTAGAGATGGTGTCTTCCTCCTCGGACAGAAAACAAGGAGGGTTGGTTTGGGAAGGTCGGGTCTGCAACCACTCTTTTTTTCTTGTGTTTGAAAAAGCCCAAACTCTAGAAGCCCAAACGTAGAAACCAGTAAGAGAGACACTCTACATTCCAAAAGGGGTCGGGGTGGGGGGTTTGAACAGAGGGTTCCTGGGGGATATAAGAGTAGGCCTCAGCAGCACCACAGCCCTGCAATCACAGGGACTTAGTTGTCACTGTCCTGTCTACTCCAGTGTACGGCAAACCCGTGTTACCGTCCGGCTCAACGTCCCCCTCGCCACTACCGTTTCTTCACGGGTCACTGACCACAAGTGCATCGCAGCCCCAGCCGCCTTCGGAAAGTGCTGAGAAAGAGCCAGAGCAGGACAGCCCAGCCCCACCCGGAGACAGCGGCACTGGCACTGTGGAGAGCCTGCCACGGCCGCTCAGCCCCACCAAACTCACACCCATCGTGCACTCCCCGCTGCGCTACCAGAGCGACGCCGACCTAGAGGCTCTGCGCAGGAAGCTGGCCAACGCACCGCGGCCCCTGAAGAAGCGCAGCTCCATCACGGAGCCCGAGGGGCCCGGTGGGCCCAACATCCAGAAGCTGCTGTACCAGCGCTTCAACACCCTGGCAGGAGGCATGGAGGGCACCCCTTTCTACCAGCCCAGCCCCTCACAGGACTTCATGGGCACCCTGGCCGACGTGGACAATGGAAACACCAACGGGAATCTGGGAGAGGCCAGCCCTGCCCAGCCCACAGCCCCGCTCCCCGCTGAGCCTGCCCCATCTTCGGACGCCAATGATAATGAGCTCCCTTCCCCTGAACCGGAGGGCCTCATCTGTCCCCAGAGCACCCACCAAACCGCTGAGCCCGCCGAGGATGACAACAACAACGTGGCCACAGCCCCATCCACAGAGCAGGTCCCCAGCCCTGGGGCCGAGGCCCCCTCACCAGGGGAAGACCAGGACCCCCAACCACTGCCCCCCGCTGTGCCCCCGCCAGGAGCCTCTACGGTGGGTGTCGTCCTAGACCAGGGCCACGGCTTCCTGCTCGGCCAGCCGGTGTTTGTGGAGGACCTGCCCGTGTTAGCCGTAGCGCTGGGGGCAGTGGGGCTTGCCAGACTCTCGTCCCTGTCCCCACTGAGGCCGAGGGGGAGGGCAGTACATCAGTACACAGAGGGGCTCTGAAGAAGCACAGGGCTGCAGAGCTCTCTCTAGAGGACCCAGTTAGATTTCCCCGAGGAGGGGGAAGCTGTGGCTGGAATTTGAAGGGCAGGCAACGGGGAGAAGAACCTTCTAGACAGAACTCTCTGGTGGGAGGTCAGTGTTGGTGGAGCAGAGAGGAGGAAGTGAGAGTCTGCTGTAGTTGGTAGGAATGAGCGGCCGGCTCTCGAGCTTGACTGTCACCCACCTCACTCCCCAGCACGGGTGCCCTGAAGAGCCAGGGCCAGCCCCTGAGCAGCTCTCCCCAGCACTCTGGGCGAGGCACAGCAGGCCTGGCTGGGCCTGCGAGTGGACGTGCCTTTTGACGCCAGGGGCTGCTCAGTGCTGCTGGGAGTACACACTAGCCAAGGCTTCCGTCCCCGTCCCTCCTCTCCACCAGGGCTTGGTGCACTGGCACATGACCTTTAAGTCAAAAGCATGCTTCCTTCCTGGCAGACCAAACGGACCAACCTGAAGAAACCGAACTCGGAGCGCACAGGGCACGGGCTGAGAGTCCGGTTCAATCCGCTGGCGCTGCTCCTCGATGCTTCTCTGGAAGGGGAGTTCGACCTGGTGCAAAGGATCATCTATGAGGTGAGCTGGGGATGGCCGCAGGCCAGGGCTGCCCCCTGTGCTGAGAGGTGGGGCTCACGAGTGCCCCGTGCCCTTAGGTGGAAGACCCTAGCAAGCCCAACGATGAAGGGATCACCCCCCTGCACAACGCCGTCTGCGCCGGCCACCACCACATTGTGAAGTTCCTGCTGGACTTTGGGGTCAACGTGAACGCTGCGGACAGTGACGGCTGGTGAGGGGCCCCAGGGCGCTTGGTCTCTAGTAGGAGGTGGCCCCCCGCTCCTCCTGCACCATCAGGACATGGGGAGGTGCAAGGGCAGGGAAGGGTGGGCGTGTGCGGCACGTCACCCCAGGCCGCCCCGCCTGGCCTCCGGCTCTAGCTCTCTGGTTCTCCTGTGAAAGGCACAGGTCTGATCGCGGTTTTCATAGACCTGATCACGTAACGCTGTGCGCTGCACCTTTGGCAGATGGTCACTCTTACCCTGCTTCTAAACGACCCATGACCGGTGCAGAGGGGAAGCTGAGTCCTGCTTTAGGTGGACGTTGTGTGGCTGCCCACAGGGCCCTCCTGCTGCTGTGCGGGCCCTGGGTCTCCTGTAGGCTTCGTTGGGAACTTCAGGCACCTGCCCGTGGGGTTTGAACCTCTGGGTCTTTTAAATTGTGTCAAAATACGCCTAACACCTTCCACCATCGCCCCGCCGAGGTGTGCCCGGGCTGTCGGTGGGGATGTCCCTTGGGGCCCCGGCCACTCAGCAGTGCACGTGCGGTCTGCCCTGGGTTAGGGGAAACCATGCCGTTCAAAAGACCAACACAAACCTGTGGGGCTCGAGCCCCGGCCCGGCCCTGGACGTCCCTGGAGGTCCCCGGAGGTCCCCGGCCGGCCTGGCCAGTGCCTTGAGGTGTCTTCACCCGCTCTCCTTTCCAGGACACCGCTGCACTGTGCCGCGTCTTGCAACAGCGTCCACCTCTGCAAACAGCTGGTGGAGAGCGGCGCCGCCATTTTTGCGTCCACCATCAGCGACATCGAGACTGCCGCGGACAAGTGTGAAGAGATGGAGGAAGGCTACATCCAGTGCTCCCAGTTCCTGTATGGTACGCGGGGGTGGGGTTGGCCCGCGCCGACGCCCCTCCCCGGGGTGCAGGGCTGACAGCGCGGGGTGCTGCTGGCCCCGGGCGAGGCCTGGCTCCCCTTGGGGAGCGGCCCAGCAGTCTCGTCAGAATGGAAGTCACGCTGCCCCTTAGGCTCATCCTGAAAACCTATGAAAATCTGTGTTGTCAGGTTTTTGCCAGATTGCTGAAAACACAGCGCTTCTCTGCGCAGATGGCCCCCCTGGGTGGAGCAGCTGGGCGCGGGGGAGGCTGGGCAGCACCCATCTGTGCATTTCTGGGGCCCCCCCAGGGCTTGAAGCCCTGCCGCAGCGGCTGCAGGCCCGAGCCAGGGTGGAAGCGCCCCCACGGCCTGGGGTGACCACCGAGGAGGAGTGAGGCTCATCCTGTTCTAGTTAAGCCGCGGGCGCCACCGTCTGGCTTCCTGAGGGCTGGAAGGGTTCGGCGGCTGCAGGGCGTCCAGCACACACCTACCTCGAGACCCTGCGGGCCCAGCCCCACACTAGACCCTGGGGACGCTGCAATGAACCAAAGCGGGCCCCAAGCCCCTGAGGCTACAGTCCCAGTGACCGCCGTGCCGGGAGGAGGGCAGCAGGAGGTCACCCGCCCATCCAGGTCCCTGCAGTCACGTGGGCAGGAGCTGGCGGGGTGCCATGGTGCGGCGGGCCAGACGGCTCCTCTGCCACTGTTGGGGGCCCCCACACCCAGGAGCAGTCACGCGGCTTCCTTGTCACCGAGTGGTGGCAGTTGTCGGGTGGGGGCCATCAGGCTCCCCAGCAGGAACACCGAGCACTCGGGCCCCAGCCCCTCGGTAGTGGGCTCCTGGCGGGCAGAGAGGAGACTGCGGGCCCCGCCCTGACCCCTTGCTGCCCTCTCGTCCCAGGGGTGCAGGAGAAGCTGGGCGTGATGAACAAAGGAGTGGTGTACGCTCTGTGGGGCTACGAGGCCCAGAACAGCGATGAGCTGTCCTTCCACGAGGGGGATGCCATCACCATCCTGAGGCGCAAGGACGAGAGCGAGACTGAGTGGTGGTGGGCTCGCCTTGGGGACCGGGAGGGCTACGTGCCCAAGAACCTGCTGGGGGTAAGCACTGGGAGCTCGTGGCTCGGGGTCCCGCGGTCCCATCCCTGTCCTACCGGCCCAGAGAGCACAGAGCCTGCAGGTGACCCCCTGTCCGCCCTCAGCGCCACCTCTGGGAATGGGGAGGTCCCGTGATCGCACCCTGGGGGCACCCTGTTGAGCCCGAGCGCCCCGACACAGGAGCTTTGGCGAGCAGCCAGGCCCGAAATGTCTCTGGGTGGGGGGACTGCCGGTCGCTACCTCTGGCGTTTACAGCTGCGTCAGCCCAGGGGCAGAGCAGGTGCCTGGGCGCCAAGGCCCACAGGCCGAGGCGCCAGCCTGGAGGGGGAAGGGAGCCTCTCGGCCACGGCCGCAGGTCTTAGGCAGCGCCAAGGCCTAGGAGAGGCTGTCCTGGGGTGGGGGCGCCAGGGTCTCAGCGGGGGGCGGCCGCCGAGTGTCGGCCTGACCGGACAGCGGCCCAGGGACCCCGGCCGCTGGGCGCACCCTCCGGCTTGGCGAGCCGTGGCCTCGTCCTGACGGCTCCCTTGCTCCCCAGCTGTACCCACGGATCAAACCCCGGCAGCGCACGCTCGCCTGAACCTCCTTGGGAGCGCTGCACGGCCTGGCCGCCGCGGAGCCGCCCGAGACGGAGACGGAGACCGAGACCGAGACCGCTCTGCTGTCCTCCAGGGAAGCTGACGCAGGCGGGGCTGTAATGGTGCTCATTTAGCAGACAGCATCCACAATGTGAATCCCTGCAGTTTCTAGGTGAGGCCCTTTCTTCAGTTTGCCCGGAACTGGGAGAGGTACTTTTGCCTCCAAGAAGACTGAATTTTGCCAATTACTGTAAATCCAAATAAATATCCAGCTTTCTAAACAACCGTCCCTGTTGCCAATAAGAAACCCTATAATTTATCCCTGGTTGGTTGCCAGTGACGACAAACCCCTTTACTGATTTGGCCCCACAGCGGTCCCTCGTTCTTGATGTCACCCCCACCCTAACACTGAAAACCTGCAACCGCAGTGAGGTGTGCCCCCCTGCTAGAGCCTGCCCTCCTGCCACTGGAAATCACAGCACCCACTGTCCTTCCCACCCTGACCACACGCATCCCCTCCTTCCCCTACCAAAGGAGCCCCCCCGGATGGAAGCTTCTGTGAGTGGTGGTGCTTGGTGCGTGTGTCCTGGGCACGAGCGTAGGTCACCTGCATACAGGCTGACGGTGCTGGGCTGGCCTCGCACGGCCCAGGCGCCAGGGCCGTTAATACCAAGTGACGGCAGTCAGGAGCCTCAAGACAGCACCGTCCCCTCCTCCGTTCACAGCACTGCCTTCCCCGCAGCCTCTTGCTGCTCAGGTGTGCGGCCCACAGGCCGGGGTGGGGAGGATGTGGGGTGCCTGCGCGGCAGGAGGGGCAGCTGGGAGGGTGGGAGGGCAGGGGCCAGCCACGATGCAATAACGTTTGCCCAGTCCAGACACCAGTTTGAACTGTACGCACAGACTTTTCTATACCAAAAGTATTTTTTGACTAGACCATTCGAAACTACCAGAATGATGTCGGAAATGTTTTTTTCTCTCATTAAAATCCAGGCCCTTAGGCTTTATTTTCCATGTATGAGTCCCGTGTATAATTTATGTATGAACACGTGTGTAGGTCCTGCTGTAGTCAGTCACCTTTAAGCATTGATTGTACACAGTGTGGTGATGAAGCGTGAGCGCCCCGCGGGACGGCCTCTGCTGCTGGACGCCCCCGCTCATGCCGTGTAAATGTGCACAATAAACCGCTGTCTCTCACCGGCGGCTGCGAGTCTTGTGTTTCGGAGCCGCAACGGAGCTGTAGCACGAAAGCTCAGGCTTTTCTGGACACAGTGAGGCAGACCTGATCCGTATTTTCAAAATAGGTTTTAATCATAAGCTTTATATACAAATCGTTGTACAATTATTTTAATAAAGTGAAATAGTAAGTGAAAAGTACAAAAAGCAAAGCTGGCTCCTCCCCCTTAGTGAAGTAAAGTATCAAAGGTTTGTTCGTAGCCCAGAATTAGTGATGTGGGAAGTGAACAGTCTCTAACGGGCTCGGGCAGACCGTACAGCCGCACACAGAGCCGGGCTCCCGAGCGCGTCAGGCCTGCCCAAATCCTCGCTGTGCAAGAGTGAACACTGAGGGGCCAGAACCTTCTAGCAAACCTGGGCACCCATAAAAACATGGTTTTCAGTTATGCTAAAAGTAGTTTAGCAGTAGTGTAACTCAATCTCTCCCACCTCCAATTAAGTATCGACGAGATAATACACACACTCTAAAGCATGAGGCTGCCGAGAGCATTACTAGACTGTGCGGATTGCACTAGATAAGCGAGCACTTCCGTTTTCTCCAACCACGGGACCTGGGTCTTCCAGCACGTGAGGGTCGGTTGCCTGTGGTGGGGGAGCAGGCTCCGCTGTCGCAGGCTGACCCTCCGTCCTGCCTGCGGTTACTGGTCTCGCGACTCGTAGAGGAGCTTGGTGGCCTATAATGTGACCAGAGAGCGTGCTGGGTCCTGTGCCTGGACGGGCTTCCTCCGGGAAAGGTGGGCCTGCGCTCCAAGCAGAAGCGCCCAGCACCCCGACCCGCCAGGGCCCAGGTACCTTGTGCATGGCTGCCAGCCACGCGGTCGCCTGCCTCCTGCTGGCATTGGCGTCTTCCGCGGCCCTCAGCTTCAGCTGGGTCACGCCCTCCGCCCCCGGTGCTGTGTACTGCAGGGACATGCCTGTGGCCCGGGCGTTACCTCCTGGAGGAGGGAGATGAGCTGAGCCCACGGGCACCCTGAGCACCCGGGCTTCCACCTGCCTTCCTGGGTGGTGGCCAGGGCGCCTCCTTCCCACCCCTCGTGCTGGGGCAGGAGGCCTGGGGGCAGGGGCCTGTGCTCCGCCGGGACCACATCACTGACGGGGAGACGACCGTGTCACCCGGTCCCATGCGGGCACTCCTGTGGCCAGGTACCCTGACCCCACCCGCCTGCAGCTGAGCCGAGGCCGCCCAGAGCACGGGGGCCGGCCCACCACGGAGACCCAGGGTCAGAGCGGAGGGGGTGCTGCGGGGCCGCGGGGCGGGCAGGGTGAGCGCCTGCGGACACGCTGGCGGGGGCAGCGGCGCCCCTCGGGCTGGTGCCAGCTGCTCGACACCGGCGGCTTACAGAACGGGCCATCCCCCTCAGGCGCGACGCGTCAGCAAAGTCCAAGGAGACCAAGCCTCACGGGAAAGTCCACCCACAGCTTTTGTACTTTGCACCTTCAGGACAGAAACTCCATTTTGAGCAGGAGTCCACCTCATGGAAAACCGCTTCAATCAGACACTGATCCCTGAGTCAAAACTGGGGGCCTGCCCCCCTCGCGGGCCTGCGGACCGTGGATGGCGCCTGCGGACGGCTGGGGGAGGCGGGATGCTGTACGACAGGAGCCGGGAAGGGCTGCCCATCCGAAAGCTAAGCCTTCACGAGCTGCATTCCCGCTGTGCGTGTTGCCAGGTGGGTCCCCGACTGGGGTCCTGGCAGAAGCACCCACTCGGACTGGGGCCACGCCAACCATGGCTCTGCCCACCACCTGCTTTTGTGAGAAGTTTAACTGGCACAGAACAGCCACGGCCTGTTTCCCAGTCACCTCTGGCTGCTGCTGCACGTGCTGAGAATCCAGGGAGCCGACCATGCTGACAACAGTGACCGCCTGGCTCCAGACCGGCCGGCGGGCAGCGCCCCTGACTCTGGGCATTGTGCCACCCCCACCCCCCGCTGCCCACCCCAGGGAAGACAGGGTCCTAGGGTTTTAAATGTTTAGAAAACTTCTGGCAGAACAAGGCTCATTGCACCCCCAAAACTGCCAGAAGGGGGGCATGCGGCACCAGAAGCCACAGGGCCCTGCCCAGGAAGACCACCTGGGCCGACCCCTCGCCCCTCCACACCCTGCCCTTTGTGCCCAGGGGCCTTCGACTCCCAGCCTGCCACTGGTTTGCACGCGACCAACGTGTGCCAACGTGCATACCCTGTGCCGGCCTGGCCTCTCGCCTCCCCATGTGGGGGCTCAAACCAAGGCGCGGAGGAGCACCGTGAGCCTGGCCGTGAAGGGGCAGGAATGGACTGGAGGGGGGCCGCCCACGGTGCCCGCAGACTCGCCAGCTCAGGGCCAGCAGATGCTGACGCACAGCTGTGAAATACCAGGTCAAGCTGCCTGGAGACGGAACAGATTCACCCGTTCCCGGCGCGGGGGTATTTTCAGCCATCCTTCGTGTACCCCCGTCGAGGGCCCAACCCTCTTTCAAATCCCCCAGAAGCAGTGCGCAGGCTGAGGCTGACCTTCAGAGGTGGGCTGGCTCCCCAGGAGGCTGGTGTAAGTGGGAGGGTCTTTTTCTACGTCAACAAGGTAGGCGGGCAGGCAGGAGAGAAGAGCCAAGAGCAATCAGAAAACAGAAAGTGAGAAGGAATCAGTGACGAGGATTTTCTCCGCACTCGACCTGGAGCGCGGACTCCGTGGAAAGGCAGCTCCTGAAGCAGCGTCAGGGTGGAAAGATGCAGGCGGAGCGAATGCCCTGGGAGCTCACCAAGGAAACGTAAGGGGATCCGATCCGATCCGTTCCCACAGACCCGACAGGAGCAGAAGCGCTGGTTCCCAATTAGCCACCAGTCCAGAGCCTTCTGAGCCCATGGGGGACGCCGACTGCACTGGGAGCTTTATCCCCGGTTTGAGGCCAACGACAGCACAGGGCTTTCCCGTGGCACGTTCGGGTAAACTCTCCGTTACCCTACCCGTTCAGCCCCATTCACCTGGCAGGTTCCCGAAGCCACTTAGTAAATACAAGCCCCCAGAGGACGGCGGGCAGGCCCCCCCTCAGAGACCCGCGGCCAGGCTGAGCACGAGGACCCAAGAAACCCCGTCCTGCACACCACGGCGTCACCCCAAGGCCGCCCACGCTGCCGCTCCTCCTGTTGCACTTACCTCCTGGTGGGAAGCCTTCCGTGAGGATCTGCACAGTGGAAATACGTGCGATCTCAATCTCGTGGCGGCTGTCCCCATCCAGAATCAGGTATCTACGGGACAGAGCGGGCACACGTCACTGCGGGGCCGATGTGACAAAGCTGTCCGGGCCGAGCAGCACTCTGCCTCTTACCTCTGGTTGTTGGAGAGACGGCAGACCATGGTTTCTGGCTTCTCGGAGTTTCCAAAAGTCACGAGGAAGGTGGCTCCTTGGGAGACAAGAACCAACATGAGAACACCCCAGCTCCTCTCACGGCGTGCCCTCCCTGACCCGGCGAGGCCAGCTCCCAGGGAGAGGCACACCCAGGACCAAATGAGCCAAGCAAGACAGCGGCAGTGGCTGCGCCTGCAGGTCCCCCAGGTAGGGCAGCAAGGCCACGACGGAGGAAAAGCAAAAGGTACTGCTGTCGGGAGGGGCTCTGTGCACCTGGAAGCTCCTAGAAACTTCCATCCTTCCCCAAAAGGCCCTGAGGGCTCCATCCCAAGGCCCGGACCCCAAGCACCCCAGAGCAGAGGCCTCCCCCTGCACGCTCCAGAAGCAGTCGGGGCAGGGCCAGAACGGGGAGAAGGCACGGTGCCCGACCAGCCAGGGAGGAGCGGGGCCCCAGAGGGGAGGGGGGCTGGGGCCCCGGAAGCTCCCGGAGAGGCAGCCCTTCATCCCTGCTTCTCCAGGAACACGGGGGAGGTGGGGACAGAGGGACACAGACCGCCAGGCCCAGGCGCCGCGGGCTTACCACTCAGGAGCACTTTGAGCTGCTTGTCGTAGAACTCTGCCTCCTTGTGGGACACCAGGGCGCACTCGGCGCACTGCCGGACGGGGTCCACGAAGCACATGCGCCGCAGCGCCACCTTCTGGCCGCAGCACTTGTCGCAGAAGCACTTCCCGCAGCGGCGACAGTGATGCTGTGGATGCAGGGGTGGCAGTGAGGGGCTGGGGGACCACCCCCCACCCCGGACACGGGCCCTGCGCGGGTGTTTGCCATCAAAACGATGAGGGGGTGAGGGCCGCACGCATGGTCGCTCTGCTGCGTTCCGCTCCCTCCCAGCTCCGAACCTTCCCCACCTCTGCAGCGGGGACACTCCTTCGAGGGCAAGCACCCAGCACGCTCCCACGGGCATGCAAGCTGCTCCCGGGCCCCGGGGCCGAGTCACAGTCCACTCCCCTGAGGTGGGCAGCCGCCCCCACCAAGGGGCTCCCTGCTGGCCTAGCCCCCCACCCAATGGCCTCAGCTCACCTTTCTGGTGAGAAAGTCAAACTTGGCGTCGCACTGCATACATCTCGGGCACTAGGAGAGAGCAGATCAGGCCCCCGCTTTGAGCGCTGCTGGGACAGCTCCCCGCCTTTCCCCTCCCAGCCCAGACACTGGGTGGCCCCCAGCCCCATGCCACAGGGGCGGGGGGCGCCAAGGACACAGGTGGGGTCCAAGTCCACGTGGCCACCGGCGGGGACTGGTCCAGATGGCATCCCCGGGACACTGAGGGATGCCTGGGCCCCAGATGTGCATGCCGGGGACATCCTGGTGCTGCTGGAAGCAAGAATCTATGTCACGGAAGGACCCCGAGATTCCAGGGCAGGAATTAACCTGAAGCGGCCAGGCCAGGTGAGCACCCCACTTTATAAATGAAGGAAGGTGCAGCAAGGGGCTGGGGGAGGCCCAGCCGGCAGCGGCCCACACACGGCCCACTCGGGGTGCATTCTCAGCATGTGTGGACACACGTGTGGAAGAGGCTGAGCAGGATGGGGGGTGGTGTGGGCTGGGTACAGGTTTGACGTGGTGGCTGCCAGGCCTGGAAATGCCCTCGAATGCTCCTCGGAGTAAGGACCCAGACAGAGCGCTCGCACGGCCGGCCTCAGGGCCCTGGGCACCCAGGAAGCACGGAGACCGAGTGCTGGGTGTCAGGGGGAGGGCTCCCACGCCCCAGCGCCCCGGCACAGACAGAGCCCTGCTTCAGGACGAGCTCAAGCCTCTTCTCTAACGTGGGCCCCAAGCTGGTTCAGGTTTTGCCAGAAGCACCGACGGGCTGACGCGGCCCAGCTTCCCGCGGTGGGAAAGCTGCTCCTGGCCCCAAACCCCAAGCAGAGCTTCAGGCCGACACGGAGACGAGGAACGTGCCCCATTGCCCCCACTCCCAGGCAGGGAAGCGGGCTTCCGGCAGGACTGGTTCCAGGGGCAGCCAATCCTTCCGTCGCCCCCACAGACCCTCACCCCGCAGGGGCAGCGGGGGCTGCACCGACCAGCAGGTTCACCTCTCCCCTGCTCTGTGCATCCCCCGGAGTGGCCGCAGCCGGCGCATGCAGGCTCCACAAGTCGGGCAAGCAGGCGGCCCTGAGGAGATCGCGGGCAGGAGCCGAGTGCCCACCAGTGTGTGCTGGTGCCGGCACCCTGCAGATGCTCCGGGAGGGAGCCTGGGACCCTCGGCCACACCCCGGCACTGCGACTGGTGGCTGAGCTTTTCAAGATCCTGTGACTAACATTTTCTTATTCCTCTTTGCTCTTAAGCTGCTTTCTGGACTGGGACACAGGGCTTGCTTGGCCCACCCTGACCTTCCAGAACCACCCATAGAGTCCCCGCCTGCTTCTGGTGTGAGCCGGTTGCTCACTGCCTGTTGCTGCTTCCGCCCATCCCCGGGCCACTGCCTCTCCCCTGTGAGAGTTCTGGAACGTTGCTCGTGTTTGGCACTCGGGCTTCTGCACCGTGGCAGGGCCGAAACCACTGGAGAAAGCCTTCACCGACGGCGAGGCCCGTGCACGCGGGAAAGCCCGCCGCCCAGGCTCCTCACCGCCACCAAAGGCTGTCTCGCGTCTCCTGCTACCATAAGGCTCGTGTGTTTGCGTGGGTCTAAAGACAAATTTTTAAATGTAAGACCACATCCAGAATTTAATATATGCTCCCTTAACAACGTAAGTGATCCAGCAGTTTATCACCCTAAACAAGCAAGGAGAGGATTCAGAAACCTAACGGATTTTTAAACAAGGTAGTTTGCTGATTAACAGAAAAGACACTTAAAAATCAACAAAGCAATTGAATCTAAAGAGAATGAAGTAAGGAAATAAATGCAACGGGCAAAGAGATGAAAGTCCAAACACGGCCGAAGACCAGATACCAGCCTGCCCACCGTCCTCAGAGCAAACAGGAACCACAGGCGCAGGCCCGGCCCAGCAGCCCTGAGACCACAACTAGACCAAGGGGCCCTCTGAGGCCGGGGTAAACTGAGTCAGGGCCCACGCTCACCACGGGCCTCCTGCCGGGCGGACAGGATGGAGGGAGCTGGCGACAAGGAGTGGCCTCCGGAGGGTGCGCTGGGCACCACGGGCATCTCTAGCTCGGCATGGGCGCCCCTGGCCTTGGACGCCCGGCTGCTTCCGTGAGCCCCCGATGGAGCCAGCGTGGTCCCGGGCATTCAAGAGCCATCTGCCCACCGCTGCCTGACCTTGGCACAAGAGCCCCCAAAGGCACTGGGGGCGACTCTTCAGAACCTGCCCGGCCCCAGGGGGTAGCTGACCGAGCTCTCCCCTCAATGTCAAGAGAGTCAGAAAATAGTCTGGAGTATTGAAAAGAATGTCAGAAAGAGAAGAGCCTGAGGAGGCCTGCCCACCCACCCGGGGACCGTCGTGACCCCTGCGGCACTGCCGACAGTGCTCCCTGGCTGGCTGCCTGGCGCCGGACCTTCACATAACACCGCGTCTTAGGTTCCTCAGAGGCAAACAGATCCTGAAAATAAACTTTAAAAATGTTTGTATTAACGTATCTTTGTTGAAAGATAATCTTCTCTATCAGCACCTGGCCAGCTCAGTCAGAAAAACACATGACTCTTGATCTTGGGGTTGCGAGTTCGAGCCCCATGCTGGGTGCAAAGGCTGCTTAAAAATAAAATGTCTAGGGCAGCCCGGGTGGCTCAGCGGTTTAGCACCGCCTTCAGCCCAGGGAGTGATCCCGGGGTCCTGGGATCAAGTCCCACGTTGGGCTCCCTGCATGGAGCCCGCTTCTCCCTCTGCCTGTGTCTCTGCCTCTCTCTCTCATGAATAAATAAATAAAATCTTTAAAAAAATAAAATAAAATGTCTAAAGATGATTTTAAAAAAGATAACCCTTTCTAAAAAGTAAAAGCAGGGATCCCTGGGTGGCGCAGCGGTTTAGCGCCTGCCTTTGGCCCAGGGCGCGATCCTGGAGACCCGGGATCGAATCCCACGTCGGGCTCCCGGTGCATGGAGCCTGCTTCTCCCTCTGCCTGTGTCTCTGCCTCTCTCTCTCTCTCTGTGTGACTATCATAAATAAATAAAAAATTAAAAAAAATAAATATTTAAAAAAAAAAAGTAAAACGAGAACTCCCAAAATATAAACTGACCCACCCAAAGATTTAATTAATTAGGGAACCAGTAAACTGCTAAAATCCCAGCTCAAAGAGGGGGCAGGGGACGGGACACATGAGGTCACAGGAAATGGGATGAATGTGGCCGAAGAGGCAAAATGGCAGCTATCACAGGAGATGAGCCTCCATGGGACAGAGCCATCTGTGTCCCAGGCCCCTGTCACCACGCATTCTGCAGAAGCTGCAGCCGCAGGGCCCAAAGACAGAAGCGCAGCCCTGCCCAGCACCTGTCGGGGCGCTTGGACCCCCCCCCCACAACCCTCACCACCCTCCACCCTCCGGTGATTCCTCAGTCAGTGCCGGCCAAGGCACAGGGGTCCTGGGCAGCATGAGGCAGTGCGCCCCCTGGGGTCCCAGATAGCCAATGTGAACCCCACCTTGACTGTGCTGGAAAGGCTTCTGCAGAGAACCCCCTTGCCGTGTGACCCAGATGACTCAGTTGCCCCCGATCACTGGTGACAAGGTGGGACAGGGGCCCCAAGTTTATGCACCCTTCACCCTGTTCTTGACCTGCTGACCTGTTGGTCCGGGTTCATCAACTGGGACAAATGTCGGTTAGCCTCAGTTGGTCTAACTGGAGTCAAGCTTTTGTCACCCTTCAGGCCCGTAGATGACAACCTGGGGTGATGCATCCCCTGATGACAGGTCACACTACCCAAGCCTCCAGGGCTCTAGGCCTCCGGCTTCCCAGCACCTTCCCCTCCCACCCTGCCCTCCTCCAGCCACTCAAGCTCTCCCTCCTGCAGCCGCCCTCCCGCCCCCAGTGACCCCAAGGAATGCAATCCGTCGGAGCCTAGGGCTGGGTTTGGATGTGACACGCCTGTGCCCTCCTCCCCGAGTCCGGGTCTACAGTGTCCAAGTGTCCAACTACCCACTCAGAGCTGCGCCCGTGTTGGCCACGCCCAGTGCTGGAGATGGGAAGGCGGAGGTGCAACACAGGACGGTTTTTCAGGGTCAAAGGCAGTATCTCCGCCGCTGGTGACAAGTCCCCATGGCCACCCAGAGAGCCCGCCAGCGTTCGCACAACCCCGAGGGCCCTGCCGGGCTTGCTGCGCACCTGCCCCAGGGAGGTGGGGACTGTGCCCTTGGCCCTTGTTCCCTCGGGGACAGGAAGGGAAGCTGAGGGCTACAGGCCGGCCCGTGCATGCACGCCTACCCCCCAACCCAACACTCTTAAGGGTGTCCCTGCAGCCGCAAGCTAACAACCTGGCGCAGGGTCAGGCACCCGGTAAGTACACGCGTGTGCAGCGGGCTGGCCTCAGGGTGACCCAGCGCAAACCAGCCAAGAGGACACGCGGAGGACCACCCACAAACGTGTCAAAGACACTGACTGGCAAACGACGGGAAACAGGTGGAGGCTGGGGGCCTGCGGGGCCCTCCTGCCGGGCTCCCTAATTCCCCTCCCCCATCCCAAACCACGAATAAACCAACCTACTTCTCACAACCGGCGGGCGCACACGGAGTCTCCTCCTGCGCACAAGGCTCCGGGTGTCCCAGAAGTGCCACCGGGCAGAGCGCGGGGGCGGGGACACACGACCCGCACCCGGCGAGGCCCCGCCCCCCAGCGCCCAGCCCTCACGCCCAGCCGGCCCGAGTGTCTTTCCTCCAGAACGCACCGTGCGCGGCCCTGGACTCCCGGACCGGGCCCCACAGGCTTCCAACTGCTTCCTGAAACTCAGCGAAGTGCACCGTTGGCTCCTCCCTCCGCGCGGCAGGGCCTGCTCCGGCTCCTCAGAGCCCGGCTGAGGCGTCGGGCGCTCCCGGCCTGGCGACCCCCGCCCCGCCCCGCCCCGCCCCGCCCCCGCCGCGCCGGGACTTCTCAGAGTTCGGCAGGGGCCGCGACGCTGTGTCCTCGGGAAACGCCACACGGGACCGGGAGCCAGGGGTGCGGCCGCCACCCCAGCCACCAACCCTCCCGACCCGCAGCGGGCCCCAGGGCCGGCGGCGGGGCCACGAGGGCTGCTAGAGTTCCGCAGGGGGTCGGTCGGGGCGACACGCCTCCAGCGGCTCCGGGGAAACTGCTGAGCCGCCTCCGTCGCCTTCGCGACACGCGGCGACCACCCGGTGAGGTGCCTACGGGTGCGGGGTCGCGGCCGCCGGCGGGTCGCGGCCTCCCCTCCCCCGCGGGGAAGCGAGCCCACGGCTTCTGCACGCGCAGCCACCTGCCCGTCCCCACCTGCTGCTGCGGGACCCTGTCCCGGCCCCTCGGCGGCCCCGAGGGACTCTGCGACACGTACTCAGGCGTGAGAACCAGACGCCGGGCTGCTTTCCCCAGCGCTGACGAGGGGCCACGCGCGGAAAGGCGCGCGCCGTGCGGGGCCGGAGCCGGGGCCCACAGGGCGGGCAGGCAGGGGCGCGGGCACCTGAGGGCACCTGCGGGCCCCCCCGCGACTCCCAGGGAGGAGGCGGCAGGACGGAGCCCGGGCCCGGGCGCTGAGAGGTGCCGGCTGACGGCTCACAGGCCTTCGGGGCCGCCCCCGCCAGGGCGCCCTCCTCACCGTCCCGCCGGGGCCTCCCTCCTCCGAGCGGCTCGCGGCCCCGGGGCTGCGGACGCGGGCCCGAGCCTCTGAGGGGGGCGGGAGGTGGCGGGCGGCGGCGACCTACCTCCTTGTCCGGGACCCACTGCGGCTCCTCCAGGCCGAAGGGGCTGCCGAAGGCGCGGTGCTCGGGCACCATGCGCAGGCCGCTGGGGGAACGCACCAGCTTCTTGGCGTCGCGGCGCGCGGCCACCTCGGAGGACATGACGCCGCCTCAGCGCTCGCCAGCCGCTCGGACCCTCGCCCCGCCAGGAGCCCCGCCCTCCCGCCCGCGCGGATGACAGGGGCCGCGTCCAATCGCCACGCCCGGCCCGGAGCGCGGGCCAATCGCCGGCCAGGCCCCGCCCCATCGCCGCGCTCTCCAATCCGCGCGAGGGCACCTCCCCGGCCACTCTGCGGTCGCTCGCCAATCGGCAGTGAGGCCCCGCCCGGGCACGCCCCGCCCCCTCGGGGCGGCGGAGACTTCGGATTGGTCAGGAAGTCTGAGACGTAGCGTGGCTTCCTCTCTGATTGGCGAACCCGGGGCGGGGCGCCCGGCTCTCATTGGAGGGGGAGGTGGCGAGGGGCGGGGCAGCGCGTGGCGGCGGACGGAGCGGGCACCGGGTGAGTGGCGGGCTTCTCGGGCGCTGGGGCCCTGGGGCGCTGGGGCGGGAGGCGGCCAGGGACCCCGGGGGGTCGCGGGTCCTGCACCGGGTGCGGACCTGCGGCCGGGCGGAGCGGACAGCGGAGCCGGGTCCTGGCAGGGCGCGGGCAGCCCGGAGCCGGGATGCGGAGGCCGGTCCTGGGGGCTGCCACCCGCAGGGAGGGACCCGAGCAGGCCGCCGGGACAGGGCCCCTTGGGGTCACGGCCGCAGCCTGGGGGCGGGGGTGGAAAGTGAAGGTGGGGCGCCCCGGAGCGGGCAGGCGCGGAAGGCAGGTGCGCTCGGGCGGCCGCGGCGGGAATGGGGCGAGGTGGGGGGCCGGGGGGCCCGCGGCCTAGGCCTGCCGTTCTGGAGAAGCCGTGGCGGCCGGCCAGGCCCCAGGGAGGGTCACCCGGGGTCACCCGGGGAAGCCCCGCCGGCTGTGGGCGAAGCCGCGCCCGTCGCCGCTCGGGGAGGGGAGCGCAAGGGATGCCCAGGCCGCAGGCGGGCGCTCACCACCGGCGGTCCCCCGGGCTGCACACCGAACTGTCCAGCCCCGCGCCGCTGCCCGGCTTGGCAGGTGCTCCGTCGGCGGCCGCTCTGCTCCCTGACCGCCCGGCCCCCATCGCGTAGGCCTGAGCCACCAAGGTGGCCCGGCTGCTTTTCCTGCCGTGGGTCCAGCTGCTGTCAGCCCCCGCCTTTGTCTCCAGGGACTCCCCAGAGGCAGCAGCCTCAGCTAGAACCTCCCCCGCCTGGCCTTCCTCCTCACGGTCCGGACCCCAGCCCAGCCTGCTGGCTGTGTCCCCTCCATCCTCTGGGCCCCGTGGTGCCTCCCTGGGGCTTTCAGTCTAGGGGAAGGACACACACACACCCTTTCTCCAGAAGTTGAAAACAACAGCTCGCTGTTTAGTCCGGGTGTTGTGTTGTCCTGGGGGTGGTTTGGGGTGGTGCCTCTCTGGGTCACCCCTTCCCATTCTTGTCCTTGGGGCTCCTAAAGCTGATGTCCCCGCCAAGCCGAGAAGGCGCGCCGCTTCTCCTCTGACAACTTATCCATTCCCCAGAGATGTTATTTTTCTTTATTTGCGTCCTGTCTTCAGGAATCTAACACACCTACCGCCAGCCTGGCCAGCATCTTCCAGACACTCAGGGCACCTTTGGAGGTGGTCACAGTCCCCATCACCTCTCCCCGTGTATAGCTGGCCCTGGGGCCCCATGTTCAGGTGCCTCTTTCTGAAGGAGACCCCAACCATCCTCCAGCTTGCGGTCCTGGTGGCCTCGGGAGTGGGGGTGGGGGGACCTCTGTGTGTGTCCTCCCCGGGTCAGCAGTGCAGACATGGGACCTGCAGCACAAGCCCCTCCCTGCAGCGCTGTCATGATCACGGGGTGCGGTATGCCTGGCGTCAGGCTCTGCAGCCACCCAGACCAGTACTGTGAGATCCAGGCATTTCGGCCCTCTCCGTGCCAGATGTTTCCCTGGACTGGCCTGTGAATGTGACAGTGCAAGTGACCTGGTTCTCGAAGCTCCAAAATCACACTGATGTTGTCCACGTGAATAACACTCCAAGCACTGCAAGGGGAGGTGGCCTTGCTGCTGGACACTGACACTGGGTTCAGCCCGAGTGGCTGCTGGCCTTGGGCTTCCTGCGCACCCATCTGCACTCAGCTTTGCTGATGCGGGCGGCCTACGTCTGGGGGACCCTGGGCTGAGCAGGGCCGCCAGCAAGGGTTGGGTCGGGCTCCAGTCCCATAGCCTCTGGGGCCCGGGCCGTGGAAGGGCTGCTGGCCAGGGGAGGGGCGAGGACTGCAGGGCAAGGGCGGGACAGTCTCCACTGTTCACTGCTCAGCTTGGTGGTCGTGGGGGTTCCGACCCGCAAGCATCCTGCAAAATTCGGAACTTGCTCTTCCCATTCTTTCCAGATCCTCCATGGAGACACACTTAGGGGAGAGTAAGGCAGAGAATGCAGAAGGCACTTCGTGCCCGGTGCCTGTGATCTCCAACTGTCTGTGTCCTCCCCACTGAAGAGGGGTCCAGGCAGGGTGCTCACCTGGACACCGGGTCCCCGGGCCAGGCCTCAGGGTGGGAGCACCTGCTCCTTTCTGACACCTTCTGCAGGGGATGGAATGGGTCCGCCCTGTGTGCAGGGACCTTTAGAACGCAGCTGGCCTGGGGGCATTTCTTTAACCGCATCCATCTGTGGATCGAATGCACCGTTTCTAACTTCCCGAATGCTTGCTCTAACCAGGTGCTGCCTTAGACCTATCTGGGTGGTTTTCCTGGTACAGTGAAGTGTCTTCTCCAACCGCAGGGCCGACGGTGAACCCTGGTGTCAGAGGGGACCACATACCCTGGCCACTGTCACTCTGCTGTGCTCAGCTCCTGGGCGGTGTGAGGTGACAGCCAGCACGTTGGAACTTGCGTACCTGGGAAGTTACCTATCATTGTGGCCGGCCTGTCGAAGAAATGGATTTGGATCAATTGGACCTGAATCCCAGGATTATTGCTGCAGTTAAGAAAGGTATACTTACTGACGTTTGGGTCAAGTAGATATGTGAAACGTACGGATATGCGTATGCACAGTGCGCGTGGAACAAGTTAACAGGGTCCTGTCCAAGTGCCCCCGCCCCAGGAAACCGATCCTCATTAGTAACTGATGCCGGAATGTGCTGCAGGTTTTTCAGTTGTGTATGTTTCACTGAGGACATTTTTAAAGTTAATTTTATTTTCATCAAAGGTAATACACGTTTATTGTCTAAAAAGTGAAATGGAGCTGCTTTAACCCCTTATGAATCTTTTATCAATTTCTTGTGTTTTTGTATCTGGGTCTCTAAATACTGTGCTATGTTGCTGTGTTCTGTTTGTCAGTGTCAGGAACTACTCAGAGTGCGTGTTACAGGGATGAGGGCTGGCTGGCTTGTGCCCCGACTTCCTACCCCCACAGTTGGAACACAGTTTGGGCCATTAGGGTTTTGACTGGGGACGTAATGACTGCTGCTGAACTAGGAGGTTAAGACAATTTCCTTCCTTGGACCATCTTTGTTATTTTCTCCCAGAGTTGGTAGTTGCCTCCTTTTTTCAAATGCTGTGTTTTCTGTGTATATCTGACTTTTCCCACATTGTCCAGTATGTCCATCAAGTACCAGTGCCTTTTGTTTAAATGCTCAAAGGGCTGGACAGCTCACCCATTCTGTCTCCTGGTGTGTCTGTCCCCAGCTACCCTGCACCAGCTGGCATTCTGAGACTCCCTTCCCTCTCCCCTGTCTCCTGCGGCACATGATGGGGAAGCTTCAATATTCAGATGCTCGTTGATCTCATAATGTAGAACCCTAAGTCTACGTGGAGGCCAGTGCTGCAACGTGGTGATATCCTACATGGGGGCAGGGCCTTGGGGTCCTGCTCCCTCATCCTTGGCTCTTGGTTTTTTTCTAGAGCCTATCAGTCGTTTTCCTTTGTTCTCCCTTTCATCCAGTCTGTCCCTCTGTCTTAATTGGCACATTCAGTACATATGTATTTAAGGTCATTCCTGATACGTGTGTTAACTCAGCCTGGTCACCAGTGGACTATGCTCGGCTATTCTTCCTATTTCTTTTTGTGGTGGTGTCCTTTTTCGGCTTCTTCTGGATTGGTTGGATATATTTTTAGCATATTTTTTCTTTTTACTAGCTTGAAACTGATATACTTATCCAAGCCCAAAATTAATTTATCCACTCTTCTCCCCAGATACCAGGCCTTTTGGACACATTGACCCTGTAACCCTCCCTACCCACCTTGCCCGCTCACTCATCTTTGCTGTTTGTCCCACTGGCCATCCTGCCATCCCCACATCCCAGAGGTCTGGTACAGTGGACACGTTTGGAAGCTGGCTCAGCCTTCCTGCACTGCCCCCCCATGCATGGCCCTCACTCTGCCCTGGGATCATCCTGTAGGTTTGCCTTCCGTGTAGGCCTGACCGGCCACAGAAACCCCCTTTCTGGACAGATGTTTCTGGGGTGTGGAAGTGGGCGGCAGCCACTGCTCTGGGCACTGGGGGAGGCCCCTCCTCCTCTCAGGCTCCTGCCGCTACAGCTGTGAGGTGGGGCTCCCCAGGCCCCTTCCCTCCCCACTGTCTTCCTCACACTCCAGCCGGGGGCTCCCACAGCTTCAGGGAGTGGACCGACTGGGCTCCGGTTGGAAGACTGTTCCTGCAAACACCGTTGTCGTTGCCGTGTGGCCTCGCGGTACCGTAGTCTGAGCTTTGCCCTGGAATTTCTTTGTTCAATTTCAGCCAAACTGAAATCGATAAAGGAGGTTTTGCATTTTTCTGGCCCGGACCTGCAGAGACTGACCAGCCTGTCCAGCCTGGACGTGCAGCACTTGCTGAGAGCGGCCTCCTCACACCTGCGGGGAGGTGGCGTCCTCACAGGTAGGCAGGGGGGCGTCTGCTCTGCCCTGGCACCTGGTGCGAATAACCAGAGGGCCAGGACACAGCGCTGGGGAGAGACCTATCGGGGGCGGGGGCGGGGGGCAGCGCTGGGGGCCTTGCTCTGGGGGCCAGTTCTCGGGCCGAGAGGCAAGGCCAGGCCGCGGGGGCAGGAAGAAGGGCTGAGCCCGGCTGTGCCTCCCGGCAGCGCTGCAGCTGTGCGAGCGGGAGGGGGGGCTCCCCGCACGGCCCCGGCGCCTGAGCCTCGGCTGCCCCGTGCTGGACCGGCTCCTCCGCGGCGGCCTGCCCCTGGATGGCGTCACCGAGCTGGCCGGCCTCAGCTCCGCCGGGAAGACCCAGCTGGCCCTGCAGCTCTGCCTGACGGTGCAGTTCCCGCCGCGCCACGGGGGCCTGGACGCAGGTGAGTGGCCACACGGGGCCGCCCCGGGGGCCCTCCCCAGGCCCGTCCTTCCCCCCACTTCGCCCGGATCCCGCCCCCGGGCAGGGGCCTGAGGCCACCGGCGCTGCCGCCCGTGCGGCCCCCTGCTCCGGGCTGGCCACGACGTCCCTGCGACCCTGGCAGGGCAGAAACCGGGACAAGCAGTGTTTTATTCCCCCCTGGGGAGGGGGCCTGCAGGCTGCAGCCCTGGCCGCGCCTATTGCATCGCGTCGTGGGGGTGACACGGGCCACACGGCACAGGGATGTTTCCAGTGCCCACGTGGGCCACTTGAGCGGTAAAAATTTCAATTGTTTTTACTAAACGGAGGTAACGGAGCAACCGTGATGCTGCCTGGTGGCCCCTCCCGGCCCCAGAGCCCACCCTGGACAGGCCTGTGGTGCGGCCCCCCGCGGGGCACTGGTCCCGAGGCCCCCGAGGCCCCCTGCTTCCCGCCGGCTCCTGGAGCTCCGAGGGGCAGGGCCGGCGCCACCACGGGCAGGGGTGTTGCTCCCAGGACGCAGGCATCCGTGGGAGGCGGGCCTGAGGGCGGGGGGGGGGCTGGCACTGGCTGCGCGTGGCCTGGGAAGCGGGTCCCCCCCCCACCCCCATGGAAGGGCCTCAGTGATGCCCCATGGGGGACACAGCACAGTCTCAACCCGGAGGCTCTCCCAGCCAGGCCATCTGTGCTTCCCTCCCTATTCATTCTAGAACATCTTGTGGCCCCAGGAGAAACCGCCCCCAGCTTGGCCCTTGGGCGGCCCACCTCCCCCCCCACCTCCTGTTCTGGAAGACTCGCCCAGTGGGACCCTACAGTGAGCTGTGGCCTCCCCGCAAGGCTCACTGTTGGAACCCGCGTCGTCCTTCCCTCCTCCTCACGGCCGGACGCTTCTCTGATGTGTGTCCAGGGCCCATTTGCTCGCCCTTTCGTCCGTCCACGGGCGTCTGGCTGGCTCGCCCCTCTCTGAGCACGGGGGTCCGAGGCTCTCGGAGTGCGTGCACACCCGGGACCGTGGGTCACGTGCACACACACACACACACACCGTCCTCACCAACGCCCAACTTGTCCGGAGCCACCCTCGCGGGTGGGAGGCGGTGCCACCGTGGGCTTGATTTGCACTTCCGGGCGACGGAGGGTGTTGGGCATCTCCTCGCGGCCCACTGAGCACCCACACGGCCTCTGCGGAGACGCGTCCGCTCAGCTCCTCTGCCGGGTTCGGACGGGGCTGTCGTTTGTGGTTGAGCTGTAAGAACTTCTGTAACGTGGGTGCGAGGCTCTTGCCGGATGCGGAATTTACAGTGTCTCCTCTTCTGTGGATGGTCTTCATTTTCCCGATGGTACCATTTTGATCAAGTCCAGCTTCTCACTCTCCCTGTGCTTGCTTGTGCCGTTTGTCACATCCGAGAATCCGGTGCCAAATCCGAGGGCATGAAGGTTTACCAGGTCTTCTCCGGAGCTTGTGGGCATCGGCTCTGGCGTCAGGTGTGCGGCCCGTGAGGACGGGCCGGTGTGCAGTGACCCGGCTGTCCCCGCGCCGTTTGCTGGAGGCCATTCTCTTGCTGAGTTGTCCTGGCACCTTGGTTGAAACCAGTTGCCACAGATATTAGGGTTTGTCTTGGAGGGTCCCCACTTCTTTCTGGCTGCAGACTTGGGGCCCGTTCCCTGGCGCGCGGACCTAGACCCTGGCCAGGCTGCTGCCCCACAGCATTCAGGCTTCCAGAGACATGTGGCCCATTGTTTGCTTACCAGCTCCTCCAGTCACATGAACCCATGGTTATACCACCTCGGAGCCAGGGATGGCAGGGGGAGCCTTGAAAGGAGTGCCTCGGGAACCTGCGCTCCCTGAAGCCTTGGCAGGAACGTCCCCGCGCACAGGAGGCCCATTCCCAGCAGCCTGGGCCTTGATGACCCCGCTCCCCTCCGCTGGGGCAGGCCCACGGGGTGGCGTCCTGGCAGCGAGGGGCAGTGTTGGCACAGCGGGCCCTTTGCCTTCCCAGGGGCCATGTACATCTGCACGGAAGACGTCTTCCCAAACCTGCGCCTGCAGCAGCTCATCGCGCAGCAGCGGCGCCTGCGGACAGACGTTCCGGGAGAGGTGGTCAGCAGGATAAAATTCAGCAACCAGATCTTCATCGAGCACGTGGCTGACGTGGTGAGTGTCCTCTCGGCCTCAGTTCCGAGGGGAAGTCGGTCGGGGGCCAGTGGACGGGGCCACCAGGACAGGGGAGCAGAGGCCCAGATGCCAGTACACGTGTGCCACACGTTCAGATCCCTGTGATCCGGTGCCTAAAACCCATCCTGTAGATCTGTCACCCACACAAGGAGGTCCAGCGTGCCACTTCCTGTCCCTGACGGCACCCGAGACCCCTTAAAGGCGGCAGCTGCAGGGAGCACCCCCCACTGCCTCCCGCTTCCCCAGCCTGTGGTGCCCCCTGCCCAGGGGAGGCCAGGACCTGCTGTCCAGGCCACCGTCCCAGCGAGAGCAGCCTGTGCTGGGTTTTACTTCTGCCTCTGACAGAGCAGAACGGTGCCTGTCAGGGCACAGAGCACTCCTCTCCCCGGCCAGGGCCTAGTAAGCCCCCAACGAGCCCCTCAGAGGGCCGGCTGCCACCTAGCCCCACCACGCGGGGGACAGACCTGGAAGGACCACCAGGGGACGCAGGCCGCGGCCTGGCCAGCCTAGAGGTTATTAGGTGGAGAGACGAACAGGGAGGGGGAGGGAGAGTACAGCAGCACGCCCAGAGCAAGGCCTCTCCACCCCACCTGGCGCCCCCGGACCAGAGCCCTGGCAGGCAGTGCCCCCAGATCCTGGCGGGCCTTCCTCCCACTTAAGGATTGTTATAAAAATACCAAGTAAAAGATAAGGCGTATAAACTTTTAATTTTTAAAAAATTTACAATGAAACATTATCACACAGCTTGGGGAGGTACGTGGTAGGGTGCGGCACCCGGGGCCCGCAGCCACGGCCTCTTCCCCGGGGGCCTCTTCCCCGGGGGCTCGGGACACAGATGGCCGGGAGGGAGGCCGCGCCCACCCCATCCTCCTGTGGGGCCGGACGTGGCCATGGCTCTGCAAGCGACACGCGTCCCGATGAGCAGCGTGGTTAGTAGTACAGTGTGCTCCGTGGCACGGACACGGGAGGGCGAGGTTAGCAGGCTCCCAGCCCCTCGGCCCTCCAGCCTCGGGGACCCCTGGCTGTCACACGAGCAGCGTCGTCCCGCCTCTTCCAGGGCTGGGTGTGGCTTCACTGCAAGAAAGGCAGCGGTGACCCTGGGGCCTCTCGGGTTGTTCTGGCCCCACAGTGAAGCCCCCAGGCGCCCCCCCCCCCAGCTGCTCGCGGGGACGGGGGACTCACATTACTGCTGGCATCCTCGAGGCCGCTGCTACTGCTGTCATTTTCCACAAAGAGAGGCTCCACTGGAGACGCCCTGGAGATGGAAGCACAGGACCGGGTTTCACTCAGGGAGGGACAGCCACGCTGTGGTCACCCGGCCCTGCTGGGGCACAGCTGGGAGTCTTCACAGTAGAGGCGGCCCCTGCCCAGCTGCCTCCACCTCCCACCACTGGGGGCTAGGAGGGGGTGGGGTAGGGGGTCAGGGCCCAGCATGGGGCCCCCGGGGAGGAAGGCCCGGTCACAGTGATGGCCCCATGGAGGCAGGGGCATGTCAGCCCCACTGGGGACTGGGGAGAAACTGGACAGATGCGAGGTGTCCCTCAGGCGCAGGGCAGGGGGAGCCGTGGTGGCACAGCTGGTGACGGCCATTTCCCCGTGGTTTCCAGGACTCCCTGCTGGAGTGTGTGAGGGAGAAGGTGCCCGTGCTGCTGTCCCGGGGGATGGCCCGTCTGGTGGTCATCGACTCGGTGGCAGCCCCATTCCGCTGTGAGTTTGACGGCCTGGCCTTGGTCCCCAGGGCCAGGCATCTGCAGGCCCTGGGAGCCGCCCTGCGCCGGCTGAGCTGTGCCTTCCAGAGCCCAGTGCTGTGCATCAACCAGGTGGGGGCCCCACCATCACCCCCAGACTGCAGGCCTCCTCCATTCTTTAGGGAAGCAGCTGGGGGGTGGAGTGGGGGGACAATGGGGTCCCTGCTGCAGCTGACCCTGGTCTGCACGTTCCAGGTGACAGAGGCCACAGAGGAGCAGGGCACAGCACCCCGGCCACACGGGTGAGCAGGGCCCACCCCCTGGGCAGGACGGCGCAGGGGGTGCTGGGACCCCGCGGCTTTGAGTCGTGGCTGGGCCTGTTTTCTCTCTCAGGCTCCGGGACGAGCGGGTTTCTCCAGCCCTCGGAATGACCTGGTCCAACCAGCTCCTCATGAGGTTGATGGTCCACCGGCGCCGCCCCGGGGACGAGGCCGTCACCCCAGCCGGCCCCCCTGACCGCACCCTGAGCGTGGTCTTCGCCCCTCACCTGCCACCCTCCTCCTGTTCCTACACAGTCAACGCTGAGGGAGTGCGAGGGACCCCGGGGACCGAGTCCTGTTGACACGGTCCCCAGATGCCGGCCAAGCCTGCCCTGTCTGCGGGCACAGGACTGGTGTCCCGACTCCACACACCCATCACCGGGTCAGGGGCTGCTCGAGGGTGTCATCTGCACCTTAACAGCAGGAAGGCGGCGAGCACAGAGGAGCCGCCCGATGTGGCCTCCACGGAGCCTCCACGCAGGCAGGGCCACATCCACACTCGTGCTGCACCGTGCTGCACCGCGCTGCCCGGCACAGCGGGCCCCGGGCCACTTCACCACAGCCTGCTCTGTGCCAGGCTCTGCCCTAAGTAACTCCGTGTTGGTGTGCTCTTCACAGCCCCTGGGGACCGGTACACTTACGATCCTTGCTCTCAAGGAAACTGAGGCACAAAACAGCTAAGCAACTTGACCAACCTCCCACAAGTCTACAAGCCAGACACTGAGCCCCAGGGCTGGTGCCAGGAAGGCAGGCCCATGCCGGACCCATACGAGGGTGGAGGCACAGGTCCCTGTAACTGGCCACTCTTTCTGTTTGGATGTTTTCTAGAGCAGAAACATGGATTTGAAATGTCCACCCAGTTTTTAAAGTAGTCTGTGGCCCTCCAAAGGGTAAGAATGGCCGCTGTAAATCGAAAACAGGTTGTAAAAAAAAAAAAAAAAAGAAAACAGGTTGTAATTTTATACAAGAGCCTTTCTTTTCTGCAAGTGCACGGACTTTGCACCAAGAAATAAACCATTTATTTTTTAATAAAATAGAAACAATCCCAAATTATTTTCTAGGCAGATCACACTAACAGTAAGAAAACTATAGCCCAAGACAGCGTGTACACAACAGATGGGCCTCCCCCGGGGGGCACGCACGCACGCCAGCACTCGGTAGGGGCCACCCTGCCCACCCACCGCAGAGGGATGCCCCTGCAGCAGGGCGGTCCCAGTGACAGATGGCCTGGGCTCCCAGCCCCGCACAGCCCCATGCCTGCACCATCCCCTCCACCCCACGCACTCCTCCCAGCCCTGGGTCCCCCCTACGGTGGGGACAGGGTGGAAGAGAGCCTGTCTCTAGGACTGCCCCAGTCACACGTGTGATGCCTTCTGCCCTGACCAGACTCCCTCAGCTGACTGGAGCCTCACCCTTGGCAGGTGCGATCACGCACCACCGTATAGTTTCCAGGAGTCTGACGACCATCCAGTGCACTACTCAGAAAGAAGTGCAAGTAGAAACATCAGAATACAGCCACATCTATGCAATGTGCTCCCCCAGAACATTCTATAAAGTTAGGACTATGAACGATATCTTCTATAAACTGTAAACTATATATTTTTAGCAATATTTATACGCTGCCATAAACAATGAATTTCTCATTACATGATATTCTTAGCAGCTTTCTGAACAAATGACAATTTTTTTTAACTCCAAGACATCAGTGACTCCCCCAACACTGCAAACACCGAGTGAGCGCCCCAGAAACAGCCCGCTGGTCCCGCTCACTGAGTGAGCACACCTCAGGCTGCCGGGTCCAGCACCTTGGGAAGAGCTGGGAGGGTCGGAAGGCCCGGCCCTCCACAGCCTCCACCTCCGACAGGCCCACGAAGGGCTCTGCACACGGTGCAACCCCGGTCCACTCCCCGTCCGGCCTGTGGCCACGGCCTGGAACCACAGGCACTAGGTACCGGGGGGGCTGGCGCTCCAAGGGTCCCCTCCCCCAGAAAGGAAAGCACGCTGCCCGCACTACTCCCTCCGAGAACGTGAACATGCACACTTGAATGAAGCAGTGACAACCAGGCTCCTGTTTTGTCCAAGTTCAGAAAGCACAGATCTGCAGGCAGCGTCCCGGGGGCAGGAAGGTTTCTTACGGGCTGGGTCTAAAGGAGGCCACTGGCGCCCTCAGAGAGGCAAGGCCAACAAAGGCCTGCCCGTACCCCTTGGGGCCCAACATGAAATCCTATTCTCACCCCGTGTTCATCCTTCCCAAACGCCCTGTTCCTCCAGAGAAGCGTCAGTAAGGGAACCCGGCTAGGTTTCCGACGTACTGGATCAGCTTCGTGGCACCAGAGAGCACTTCTGACGGCGGGGCGGTGGGACGGGGGTTGGGGAAGGATGACCCGACATGGGGCAGCTTCCAGTCAGCCCCCCCAGCCCTCCCAGCGGCCTCCACACCCAGACGGACTGCAGAGCGCACAGTGCCTCTGCGGGGACACGCTGTGCGCGTTCTTTCCTTGCGTGTCTCCCGATCCACCCCATGTGCAGACCGGCCCTGGACAGCGTTTACAAAGTCAGTTCCTCGTCCACCAGAAGCTGCAAATTGGGACGGTCGAGCGCTGAGCAAAGAGGCACAGCCACAGAGGCCACGGGCCAGACCCACAGGCACCTGTCTCTGGGTGCCACCAACCCCCTCGTCATCTGCTCGGGATTTTCTAAAGCTACCAGCTTGACTCACACATCTATTGAGGGGCAGGGCTGCAGGGTACGCTGGGCAATGTTTCCATCAAAACCTAACCCATGTTGACAAAGAAAACCTTTTTCAACATAAAACCTGCATCTCTACATGCTCAGCACTCAGGGACCAGCAGGGGGAAAAGGGGCTCCGAAGGGGCAGGCCTGGGAGCCCACGGGGCGTCTGGCAAGGCACGTGGATGTGCCACACTGCAGGAGTGGGGACCCGGTGGGGACCCAGACCCACCAGCATGCTACCCGTCTCCCCTGCTTCTTAGCACCCCCTCTCTGAATTCCAGGCAGCTCTGCCACAGATCATCAGATGCTTATTCTGAAAGGATGCAGCGTAAGGTTCCAGTCTTAGGTTACAGCCTTAGTATACATTAACACGCACAACAGATTCCGGTGTAGTCCGTGAGCAGCGGCCCATTCCAAACGTGGGGAAGCCAGCTGCCAGCGCCACATCGGCCTCCCTGACCGCCAGGCCCGGCCGGTCTCACGCTCACGCTCCGGCAGCTCCTGGTCGCTAGGACTGCAGACAGCTTAACAGAATTCAGGGCAGGCCTCCACGAGGCGAGGCGGTGGAGGATCACTATCTAGAGAAGCAAGTGACCCAGGTGGTGGGTCCCCTGCAGAGTTAGGGGAGGGGGCTCGGCAAAGCTTTGAGGGCTCAGTGCTCCATTAGTCTCGGGGATTTTATCTAGCTCAGCCTCGACCCTCAGCGGGCCAGCTCAGTGTTGCTGGCACTCAGAGCACGAGAGTCTGCCAGACAATTATTTCGTTCCTGCGTGAAAAAACAAAGGAAAAATTATACTTAACCAGTACTCCAAAGGACGCTGGCTTCAAGTGGCTCAGAGCTAACAATAGTGGGAGTCCTGACCATCGCGTGCAGGGGGCCAGGCCCGAGGGGGGTGGAGGGAGGACTGAGTCAATCCCACACCTTTTAAGACAAGACGCCTCTTTACTGTTGTCACCAGGCGCATCCAAGCACACTGCCCAGACACTACCTGCACCTCCCGTGTCACCAAGGGCCTGGCAACAAGCACCTTGGGAACGGCCACCTCCTAAGGTCCTAGGGAGGAGAAGGGAGGCCCGCGGCAGCCAGTGAGCGTCTGGGGTGAGCAGCAGCACCACGGCAGCTAAGAGGTGCGACGGCCAGGGAGCCTGGTCACCAGTGGACGAGCACTAACTGCTAAGTCAGAAGGTTCTCTGTGCCCTAAGTTCAGCTGCCTGGTCTGCTGGGCACACTGGGCCACACCCGACAGCCACATGAGACATTGAGAAAAAACGGAAAATTAAAAGGCCCTTCCCGACAAAGAAGGTGCCAGCAGTTTTAAATGGGAAGGTGACAGGTTTGTGCAAGCCTTGGGACTGCTAAAAAAAAAAGTGCTAAACATTAGGTGTAAAAGTGACAATGCATCAGTTACTCACATTAGTAAAGTTCTAACAGTCTTAAGACACTGAACAGTTTGACAAGACAATGAATTAGTTACAAACTTACCAGAGGCTGAGATCAGTTAATACACATGAGGTGGCCAGGTTTTGACATTACGTTAGCAGAATATTTAAATTTTAACTAGCTTAAGCAAACTAAAGATCAATAATTAATAGACTGAGAATGTTTACAACATGTACGTTCCCATAATTCATGGAATCAAATTAACACAGATTCCGGAAATACCACCATGATCCCTTCTTTGTCTGCGACTCCTAACTACTGTGTTCCTAAGGCCCCCCAAGGTGGCAGTGATGCCCGGGAAGGGCCTGCGGCCGCCCAGTCACCCCAGGCTGGGACGTCAGGGGCATGAAGCGGGGCAGGGCTCCTTACTTGGAAATGGTCTTCAGCGGCCTTGCCACCCACGTTAAGGACATTCAGAGAACTGGCACGCTTCATGCTGCAACCAGGGCAGTGGACATGCAAAAGGACAAACCAGCAGCACATCAGTGACCCAGGAGCGGGAAACAGCAAACCACCCCCCTTGAAAGGAGCTGTCACCGTGGGGGGCCCCTGGAGCCCTCCCTCACAGAGAGCGGGCCTTCCTCTCGCCCCAACTGGGGCGTGTGCCAACTCTAGCACAGACGCCCTGGGTCCATCCATAAAGCCCAGGAGAAAAAAAGCAGTTTCTCTGCATCTTTCTCAGCAAAGCACTTTTCTTAAATACTACGTGTAAATTCAGTGTTGTCATGCTCTCAGGCTTTGAAGCCTGGCTCCCGTGGGAGGCGAGCAGCTCTGCTGGGCACAGGGTGCGTCTGCAGGGGGTCGAGTCGGTTGTAAGAAGGGAGCCTGGAGCCCCTCCAAAACCAACACTCACCCCAAGTGACCGTAGAAAACAGCCACACTCGACACTCAGCGTTAAGATCAGATACATACATATACGCTTGTGTACTTTACGTATTGTTCAATATTAAAAGTAAAAATAATTTTTTATTAGCCAAATAAACTCAGCAGCTTTCTCTGCTTAGAAACCAAAATCTAAAACAAATTCCATGGCTTTACATTTAAGAAAATGTAGTGATTTAAATGTGTATTTTTTTCTCCATTCTCCACTTTTCTCCATTGACACCTTTAAAATACTTGATGAAATACCCTGCAAATAATCTAAAACCTAAGCTTAAAATTATGGACAGCTGTAAAGTTACTATCATCACTTACTGCCACCATGGATGTCCTCAAACAGAAAATCTCTGCCTTTAAAGTTAAATAGCTGATATTAAGGGTTATTTTGAAATGTTTCCAACAGGAACTGTAATAATGACTTTGAACGACCTACGACACAAGTAGTGCACACTACTATTTGCTCTGTGAGTTGAAGGCATGGCTGTGAGGCTGAAGCACAGGTGTGAAGGGTTAGCACAACCAGACACACATAAAAAAACGCTCCAGTTATGTGGATGAAGGCTCAGGTCATGACTCACATGCCCACCAGCGCCACAGGCACAGCGCCCAGCAAGGGCAGGTACTTACCAAGTTCTCACTGATGAAACTACACCAGAAGCAAAGACCTTAATATAGTTAACCCCAAGTAAAACTCACTCCCCAGATACCCCAACCAGGACAAGCCCTGGAGCCCCACTTAAGTGCTGCTAGAATTCTCTACATAGCACTTACTCAACAAGAGATAAAATCAAACCAAATCACATTGGTACACTTCATCATTCTGTTATTTAAGTGGCTGATGGACGAGAGCTATAGAGTGCTCTTCCTCAAGCTCTCTTTTCCTTATAAGACGAAAGTAACAACAATCTGACTCCTGCCAGCAAGTGTCCCCTTGGCCCTGCATGATGCATCCACCCTCTTCTCTTAAACCGTGGTGCACAAAACAGAAAGGACGCCCAGTTCAGAGAGCCTCCAAATGTGGTCCCAGGCCAAAACCGCTGCAGGTACTAGCTGGGAACCTGCTAGAAAGGCTGATGGGGGGCGGGGAGGGTGGTGCATGCAGACCCACTGCACCATAAACTGAGGGCTGGGAGGCTGGGGCCTGGCAGTCTGTGTTCAAACCCCCAGAGATGCTGATGCTCAGGTCTGAGAAACACTGGTCCAGTTAGTAAACGCAGTTACTCCTACCTGGACAGAGGATTCAGTTTTATGTATTTTACGGGATAAAACTTCTAAAGCCATTTAAGTTTCCATCAAGTTCAGGAGATACCATTTCAAAGACCATACACGACCCCTGTGTGTGCACATGGGTAGCCAGGCTGGTGGTGCTCCTTGTACCGTGGCTCACACCACACCGTGGAGCACCTACTCTGCTGCATCACGGCCGAGCCAGAAGGCTCGGGAGAGAGGGGAACACTTCCAAGCTCTGTCACAGGACTTAGTGCCAGAACTGGACTCTGCATTTAAAAAGCTTCAAAACCTCCTGAACCTCCACCAGCCAGTGCGTTCGCCCTGGAGGAGACAAATACTGGCGTGTGGAAAGCGCTGGGATGTATGAGCCACTTGTGTTAATCAGACCCATCCCAGGAACGTCAACTAAGTGAGTGCTCGACAGTCTGTGCAGATCCTTGTAACACAGCAAAGAAAAAGCTTACTCTTTCAAAATTCGGTGAGACAGATAGTAAACTATCATTTAGTTCTGTAAATATTTTAAAACAAGCACTTTATCCCCAAAGCAATTTAAAACCTGCTTCCCTGGCACGTTGGTCTGTAGGGTCGCCAGCTTTGGTGCCGACAGCAGGACAGAACGGCAGGCTTCTGCTCAGCCCCACATCTTTCCGGAAGCCCCAACTGGCTTCCAACACTGCATCTTCCAGGTAGTTTCACAACAAACGCGTGTGGAGCTCATCAAACTTCCTCCACAGAAACGGGCTTGTAAAACATTTTTGAGAAGCAGGGTGACAGCCATCAAACTGCTCACCCTGCCTCACAAGCCATCACAAAATGTGTGCACCCAGCAGCACAGACTCCTGGGAGCCCAGAGCGGACAGCAGACCCAGGCCTCTGCTCCCCAGAGCTCTCGGGAGTTATGCCTTCACTGACAGACAAGAACAGGACTGGACGTCCCTCAAAATTAACAAAGGAAGCTGCTGGAAAAGCCCCTAAACGCCGAGTCTCCAGCACATCGCGTGAAGGGACCCTGCCTGCCGGGCCCAGCAGTGGGAGACTTCGTACCACAGAAGGGGAAGTGGAGTCACTTGTATAAGAGTTTCACTTCGACTCAATCCTGACCAAGTAGGCACCACTTAGGAATTCAGAGTCTCAGAACAGCTGACCAAACAGTGCCTCTGTGGGAAATGCATCCAAAACAAGATGCTGTTTACACCAGAAATAGCCCAGAAGCGGGGGCAGATGTCAGCACTCCGGCCCACCCAGCAAAGAGCAAAATGCCTCAGAATCAAACTCCTTTGACTTCAATGTTATTGTTCAAAAGACGGTAAGACTCAGGAGTGAACCTTTCTTAAAACGTGTGGAAAATCTGTTTTTTTCAATCCCCTAAAGAAACTCCTTCTACTAAAGTCCTAAAACGGTGATCGTTCTATTTAAAACCTTTTTTCTCCCTACGTCAATACCTGTAGGAGCCCATATACTCCTAGCTAGTGTTTGTTTTAAAAGGATTTTAAAACCCAATTTTTAAAGGATTTAGACTAATACCAATTTTTAAAAATAACGCCTATCTCACTCAACGAGTGAGTGTGCTCAGTGTTTTCACGTGACGCCCCCAACATGTCGCTGCTAAGAAAGACTCTCAGAACACACCATCATCAAATCACAGAATTCCACAGGTTTCCTTGGAAGGCCCCCGCCCTCCTAGCCTCTCCACAGGAAGTCCCACAGTTCCTCCTTAGCCTGTCCTGGGAGGCCGAGGACGTGAGGACGTGAGGACGTGAGGACGTGAGGACGTGGGCCGTGGGCCGTGGGCCCAGGGCTGGAGGGAGGAGCCCAGGGACCACTGGGGGAGGAAGGGCCATCAGGCAGGGCGGTCAGCAGGGGGCCACAGATAATTACCCGGGGTTCTTTGGCTCACTCTCTCGAGAACTTCCTCCCTTCAGCTTCCTAACCAGCTTCTCACTGCTGCGTCTAATTGAAGCTCGGAGTTTGCTAAAGGAGCCACTGCGCTTTAAAGATCCAGTGCCATCCTGAAAGAAACGTGAACACATGTGAAACTGCAGAGTCCTCTCCCGGCCTCCCAAGAGGCAAAGCTGATGAAAACAATTCACATCACGGTTGACCTACTTGCCTGTGACTTGCTGGCAGTACGATTGCTACAGAAATTACCAGTTTGCCACGCATATAAATACACTTTAAATAGAAATCTATCCATTTTAAATTTCAGTCAAGCTAATCTATGAGCATAAAAACCTCTAAACATGAAGAAGTTCAAACAAAAAATAACATCCCCCAAAATTATATCGCTGCTTTGAAACAAAAGGTAACACAAAAAGAAGTCCCAAGGGCTGCTTCTTGGAAGATCACCAAAACCAAGTTCCATGTTTAATAAAAACAAGCATCTGGTCCACGTAACAGCCCTGGACCCAAACCATTGAGATCTGACACAGACCACTTAACACTTCTGTGTACATGCAATACTTAGATATACTGCTTCTTCAGTAAATGTTATTATTTTTTTTAAAAAAAACTATCATTTATTTAAGTATTCTCTGTACCCAATGTGGGTCTTACACTCATGACCCCAAGATTAAGAGCCATACGCTCTTTGGACTGAGCCAGCCAGGCGCCCCTTCCATGAATTTTAAAAAAGCAGTTTTATTTAATGTTGACTGTAAATGTGGTTGAAAAATTAAATAAAATGCTCATTCCATACAGTAACTAAAACCCCTAAGACACCTTGTGGACAGAAAAGTGTCCAGCTTTCCCCGTAGTAAAAAAAAAAACTAAACCATGTGAAAGTATCTGGATATGAAAACCAAAACCAGAGAGTGAAAAAACTGTGTCTGTAAGTAACTTTTATTCTCAGAATGAATCACTTAGTGAGATGAACAGCAACCCCATTCCCTGAAGGAGGATGCAATGCCGCATTCCATGGAAAGAGCAAGAAGTTCTAGGCAGACAGACACAAAGACACGGGTCAGTCGGAGTGAGTTTATTAGAAGTTAGAAAGACACAAATACACAAATCACTGAACACTTAAAGATTAGTGGAGAAAAGCAAAATTGCCAAAATTTCAGAGACTACACAGCAAATGCTACTTGAGCGAGATCCTAGGGGAGCCCGGGGCCCGGGTGGCCTCGGCAGGCCTCAGAGCACGCCGGGAGCAGCACATGCCCTACTGTTACAGCCTAGCTAGTGTCAACGGTCATGCCACTGCATTAACACCTGCGGGAGACTTCTAACTACCTCTTATCAAAGTGAACAACTAATCGCTCTTAATTTTTAATCTCATGTATCACACAGTAAATGGTTTTTATTAACACAGTTTATATTACTAAGTACATATCTGGCAAAGCTACATGTATACAGAGATAAGGAACCCCCCAAAAAGGACAGCAGCACCGAAAGGAATGGCCAGTCACAGAGAGGTGGAGCTCTGACAAGAATCCTAGGGGATTGCTAAACACAGCAGTCAGCACTGGAGAGAGAAGTAAAGCTGGAGGAGCCGCCCGTCATGCAGGAGACAGTGTGAGCGCCACATAAGGCAGCTAGGCCTGTCAGACAGAAATGGAGAGAGAGAGCCCAGTGAAACCATTGTGAGAACAGAGCCGGCCCCCACTGAACGCAGCGTGGCTTACAGTATTTCTAGGTCACAAATCTCAGCAGTGCTTTTAATCGCTTCAGTATTTGGGATTACCTTCTGCCCGCTTCTATCAGCCCAGTACCAAGAGGCACTAGGCCGTATGGGATCTTTTACATTATCGAGACTATCACTCTTGTCATCAAAATAAAACCCAGCTTCACAGCACAGATTAGCACTGTGCTAGAAATCTCCATGATACTTACTGTAACGAGGTTTTCCAGTAACTGTACATAAAGGAGATTCCACAATGAGAAACATTGACAGTGACCAAAAGAAAGTAGGAAGATGCCATTCATTCAACCTTTTTCAGAGATGCTTTTGTAACCCTAAACTATAAAGTTCTCTCTGAAATCAGGGAGGACTTTCTCTTAAGAGCACTAACAGTTTAAACATTTCAGAAACTTTAAGAAACCACCGACTTTAAAAGTCTTTAGCACATTTTAAACATGCAGTTGATAATCCAAAATAAGATTAATTATAGAAAATGGATTTCCACAGGCAGTAATGCACCCCGGGTCTCAGGAGAATGGAACCCCAGTGGTCTCGTACGAAGCCCCGGACAGCGGGGACCGAGCCCCTGCCCGCTCTGACTCACCATGGGACGCTCAGCAAGTCATTTAACCAGCCCGAGCTTCATTTTTCTCATCTTTAAAATGGAAAAATAAAATTTGTTACCAACTCCCCACGAATGCTGGGAGGACAAGAAAACATAAGTTCTTGTTGTTCTTTTAGAAAAAGGACATTAAACTGTTAATTCCACAAATAGTACAACTCCTGCAGTTCAGTTCAGAATTTATTGCTACGCTATAGCAGTGTTACAATATTCCTGTCTAGCCACTCAGCAGACCATGGGAGTGATTTCAGATTCCAGAGGTACTTCTGTTAAACACACACCCACGCTATCCCTACCCAATCCCTCACCCCTGCAGCAGGAGGCACACAGGAGCTGGGCTGCCCACCTCCTTGCACTTGCTCTTGAGAGCCAGTGAGAACCAATGGGGAGGACAGCGGAAAACCAACACGAGTCCCAGTGGATTTCTATGCAGTAAAGGATGGAGAGTTGGGAGATGATCTGCATTCTCTTTCAAAAACATCCTACTTCTTTATAATGCCATGAAAGAATACTTACATGAAAAAAGTGGGTTTCTGAACAGAAATGAATAGCATAGTGCACTGCCTAAGAAACGTACAGCAGTAATTATTATCTATAGATTCAGGTGATTTGTTGTTTCTTTCTCTTTGTTATAGTCTAATTGTCTTTCTAATACAATTTTTTAAAAATAAAAATCTTTTTCTAATTAACAGCATGTACTATCCCATTCCTCAGTAATCTCAGGCAAGAGTTCAGTGTAGGGGGCGCAGGTGGGGCAGGCTTCTTCTCAAGGACCCTGCAGGGAACTGGCAAGTCAGAAACAGAAAACAGAAAAGGAAGACTCCGGGTCCCCTTGGAATGGAAGATGTGATGTTTCCTGGAGCCCTCAAGGAATGGCTGCAAATTTGATCCCTTATAATAGTGCAGCCAGGGTTCCCATGTTGTCTGAGGGGCCTAGGCTCCAGGGACAGGCAGATGCAGCGATGTGCAGAGGGTAAAGGGAATCCAATTCCGCCAGAAAGGACTCCTCTCCACATAGCATTTACATTTTTAGCAGGACCATAAAAGAGAACTCAGATTTATCTTGACAATGACTTCAGCTCTGTGTACTTTATACAAAAATAAGCTAGAGGTGGGCAGCCCGGGTGGCTCAGCAGTTAGGCGCCCCTTCGGCCCAGGGCATGATCCTGGAGACCCGGGATCAAGTTCCATGTCGGGCTCCCTGCAGGGAGCCTGCTTCTCCCTCTGCTGTGTCTCTGCCTCTCTCTCTCTCTCTCTCTCTCTCTCTCTCATGAATAAATAAAATCTTTTTAAAAAAATAAGTAAGTTAGAGGAAGTTACATTTTCAAGAACTTTAATGGCAATCTTAATAGTATGTAATAGACCGGAATCACATTTCCCTAAGAATTTGATAAAAAATTTCATATGAATGATTACAGCATACCACTAATCTTACTTTTCTTCTATTTTAATAGCACGTAATCCTGTTCTGGGCTGACCCAGACTTTTGATATCTCCAGGGAGCAATTAGAACCTAGGCTACCTTATATTTGACCACACTGCCCATCGTTTTACGTTTATTTCTGAATGTTGGGAACAACCATGCCTACTCAGTCTCATATAAACGGCTACGACAACAGAACGAGGCTGCCGAGCCTGCACCTGCCAGCCTCCCTGCTGGAGGAGCACCTGCACAACACAGCAACACAATGCTTTTTCTTACAGTAGCAGTTTTTAAACTTTTTAAACAGCACTGAAACCTTTTTTAAAAAATCTAATGCATGGGCAGCCCAGGTGGCTCAGTGGTTTAGCGCTGCCTGTAGCCCAGGGTGTGATCCTGGAGACCCACGATCGAGTCCCATGTCGGGCTCCCTGCATGGAGCCTGCTTCTCCCTCTGCCTGTGTCTGTTCCTTTCTCTCTCTCTCTCACATGAATAAATAAATAAAATCTTTTTAAAAATATCTAATGAACTCCAATAAGATAAAATCTAGGTGACATTTCTCATTATAAATATATCACAAGTTCTTAGAATAACAAACCACCAAGAACAGTGAAGCCACCTTTAAAGCACCCACAATTTGAAATATGAAATTAACAGATGACAGGTCTACCCCTGACACTAAACTCCCAATTTGTGCCTAGTGGATCTGGACTGCCTGAAAATCTTGCTGCTCTAAGGTAGTAAGTTGCTGCAGGTGTAAGAGGTCTTAACCACATGCCCTGTCATCACAGGGACTCTTCACTCACACTGAGGGCCTGAAACACTAACTCTCACACCTGGACAGAGACTCATGGGGGGTGGGGTAGGGGTGGGGGACTGTAGTTTATTAACATCTGAACTGAAGGTGGCACTTAAAATGGGCTCCTTTAACTGCATCTGCCTACACCTAAATCAGGATGATTTCAACAAAACCCTGGTGTGCATACTGCCTTTACTGCCTCTTCTTAAACAGTAACAGTATGCTTTGAAAATGAAATTCCACCCAAATGTCAGGAGAGCTCACTACCACCTCCTCAGAACCTAAGAGCTGGGGACCTCCAGAGAAGGTGAAGGTGAGGGTGGACTGGGTCGGAGCAGAGGCCTCGGGGCGTGGCAGTGAGCACGTTCACCCACGAGGCTACCCCAAGGTACCCCAAGCAGCTCTTGAGTCACCTGCTGCTTGATCTCAGACTCTAAGTGAACCAAGGGCCCCTTCCACTGCTCACTGCAAATTTAGGAACTACTGTCCAGGATGACCGAAGATCTGGGATATAGATTTCTTCAGCCAGTGAGTGGACCACAACCCACTGACGAGCCTGGGATGGATTTTGTCAAGGACGCAGAGCATATGGTGTCTAGGGCTCAAGTAAAAAGGTGTCCAAAGCCTGGGATGTGAACATCCTATGTGACAGCATGTCCAAAGTGAGACAGGAAATGTGAAGTGGAAGGATGCCCATGTGCGCACTCAGAGGGGGAACCTTTCCTGCCCTCTGCATCTGTGACTCCACAGCAGGCTTGACAGGAAGCCGCCCACCAGCCCTACAAACTGGATGGAAAGCAGCTCTCCCTCATCCTTGAGTCCTAGTCTTGATGATGGGAACAGAACTCTACGTTGTCAATAATTTTATTATAGGATTTCACAGAAAGATTGACCTAGAAATACTGTCTCAAGAAAAAGTTCCTCCAGAACTTCGTTCAAGAGTATCAAAATCTGCGCCCTGGCTTCTACAGACTAGAGAAGGGACATGGCCCTCTACACAAGGCATGCAGGACAATAGGAATCGTGGGAGAGTACAGTACACAGTGTGGCCAGATGCGGACAAGAGAGGGCCTGGCCATCATCGCTTATGTGTTAGACTACTGCCCAATGGGGGAATGGTCAAAGCAGATGCTGATTGGTTGTCTTGGCACAGGAAACACCAAAGCAAGGCAGCTGCCAGATAAAGACAGTCAAAAAGATGCTCTCCCTGAAATTCTGGCCACTAATGTTACATAGAAAATGTCTATTGAGAATGTTCATCCTTACCAAGGCACTACAGCTCTAGAAAATCCCCAAAATAAATACATTCAAAAAGATAAAAGAATAGGAAACCCCAAGACTTCTATTTGGCAAAACATTTGCACAATTACAACTAATCAAACTGCATCTACTGCAACTTCCAAAAAAGAAAAAAATGGATTGTGCACACAATCCTGCATTCAACCTTTCCTGCTAAGAGCAAAGTTCCAAAGATATTAACTCAATGCACAAAAGTATTACCCTTGTGTGACCAACATTTGCTAGGAAAAATGTCCAGGAGGCCACACGCTCTTTGGAGACCACTGGATAAATAGCAGTGGTAAGAATTTCCATAAAGGCACACCAGTGAAACCCAGAGGTAGAGCCTGGCCAGGAGAGACATGTTCCAAACACGGGCACATGTTTTGTATCCGAAAACGTCTGGCAAAGGACTGTGAAGAGAGACTAGCCACGGGACCTCAGTGGGAAGGTGACACTCAGCACCGAGGCGCCACCAAGAGTAGCGACCCCAACCTATTCTTCTCTAGAGACAAGCTCTATTTGAAACATCACTTCCATTGAAGGAATTTAAATTAATTCTCAGAAAATCTACAGCAGCCTGGTCAGTGAAATTAGGAGCACTGGAGTTAGCAATGAAAATGGGTAAGTTAAAAAAGCGAGTTAGTTTTTTTGCCAAACTAATCCTAATATCAAAACACAACCAGGTTATGGATTATGGCTCTAAACAACCAGGACACTCAATCAGCATTTAAGTGCTCCAAGTTAAGCCAAACAGCTTTCATGGGTTCCAACAGAAAAGGAAACGACCACTTCAAACGAGTAACAGACTTCATTATTAGCAGAAGATAAGAACTTACACAAAGCTTAATTTTACTTAATTTGAGGAAAGGACAGTGTCTAGCACTAAGCCAGGAGGGACGTGTGGGACAGCACTCCTGCTGGGAGCCTGGCCCAGGCGGCCTCCGGGCAGCAGGCAAGCATCTGTGGGAGCGGGCCGGCAGCCGTGTACTGTACTTACCCCGTTCCACTCTACGCTCATACTCACTTCCTCCCCTCCATCAGGGCCGCTCTCGTACTTGACCACGTCCACAGTGAGGCTCTCGCGGCTCCTCCGCTTCTCCACGTTCTCAGGGTCATTCAGCACTTCAGCTACTCTCTGTTTGTGAACATTGTCAAGACCCTGAGCCAGGCAAGAGGGACAGGGTTTGATCCGTTAGAACTCAAGTTTGATTAAGGATTTCTAAGATGGCTCAGCTTCACCAGGGGGTAAAAAAACAACACACACAAGTCTTTAAACACTGGCGAGAAAAACTTGGAAGAGCGATTCGTGGAAATACACACTTACGACTCACGCATTTCACTCTTTGTAAAGTTTACCTGAAATTTTAAAAGACAACAAACATGGGTTCCAGTGGGTGAGATGCACACTTGGAAGTTTTTAGAAGGAATTGTACCGACATACACAAACTTGAAATGCTCTACCTAAAACAGGACTGCTGGACAGAGAGGAGGGAGAGATGTGCCAGAGAGCAATGAAGCATTTACGGCAGAATCTGGGAGGCAGGCACGTGAGTGTGAAATTCCCTCAACTTCTCTGTTTGCCGAGCGTCACAGTAAGATACTGGAAAACACCCAAACGCCCCCCTGTCAAGGAGTGAGGACAGCAGCAAGCTCTCCCCTCATTTCCGCAGAGATGGACCCACACACACTTGAGGCGCTACCACACAGCACAGCCTGCTGTCCGGGTGCGTTTCAGTTCTAATGACCCAGACGCAACATGTCCCATCTTCTAAATGGGATCTCAACCCCAACAGCTCATGCAAATACTGCACCTGTACAGTTTGCAGTATTTGAAACTTTGACAGTTTCCTCTTCAAAAGGCACAAACCTCAAGCACATGATATGCTGCTGTGACTTTGACAGTAAGGCAGACGGTGGCCCTTGACCCAGCAGAAGGGCACCATTCCCAGTAAAGCACAGACAATCCCTTTCTTTAAATTTCCACAACTCCTGATTCCCCAGACTCAACTCGTTTGATACACATCATCCTGGCACTTTATTTTTTAAAGATTTTATTTATGAGGCACCTGGGTGGCTCAGTGGTTGAGTGTCTGCCTTCCACTCAGGTCGTGATCCCAGGGTTTTGGGATGTAGTCCCATATTGGGCTCCCTGCAGGGAGCCTGCTTCTCCCTGCTGCCTATGTCTCTCTTTCTTCGTGTCTCTCACGAATTAAAAAAAAAAAAAAAAAAAAAGATTTACTTATTTGAGAGAATGAGTGCACATGCAGGAGGAAGTGGAGAGAGAAGCAGACTCCCCGCTGAGCAGGGAGCCGGACGTGGGGTTGTGAACCAGGACCCTGAGATCATGACCCCAAGCCCAAGGCAGATACTAACTGACTGAGGCATAAGAACACCTTTATCCTGGCACCTTAAAACAAAGCCTGGATTGCTGGCACTACTCCTGAAGATGACTGGTCACAGCACTCTAGATCTAGGATGAGCACCAAGACCTCCTAAGCCACATTCCATCCTCAGGGGTGGCACACTCAGTGAGTGGCCCCACACAGCGAGACCCTCACACAGCGAAACCCCCAACAGGGCTCCCAATGCCTCAGGGCATTCTGCCCCACACAGAGCCACGGTCCCAAGTAGCCTTTCAGAGTCAGAAGACCCTGGAGGAATGATGGGACTTAAGAAAGGGGATCCTCTAGGGGCACAGCTGGGAGGCATTGTTGGTTCTAACCCTGCCGGTCTTCTCTCATCATTCTGCGTGAACTCTTTTGAAAGAAAAGAATTATTAGGTATATATGGGTAATTTTAATCCCAGACAAAAAGTGGCCATAAACAAGCACATAATCGCCTACTATTCAGGAAGGGAGGGACGCCTGGGTGACTCAGTGGTTGAGTGTCTGCCTTGGGCTCAGGGCGTGATCCCGGGATCCGGGACTGAGTCCCACATGGGGCTCCCTGTGGGGAGCCTGCTTCTCCCTCTGCCTGTGTCTCTCATGAATGAATGAATGAATGAATGAATGAATAAAGAAAGGGAAGGGAAAGGAAAAGGAAAAGGAAAAGGAAAAGGAAAAGGAAAAAACACACACCTGTCTCTCCAACCCTAAAAATATACAACAAGGGAGGCCTGGGTGGCTCAGCGGTTGAGCGTCTGCCTTTGGTTCAGGGTGTGATCCCAGAGTTCCTGGATGAATCTTACATTGGGCTCCCTGCATGGAGCCTGCTTCTCTCTGCCTGTGTCTCTACCCCTCTCTCTCTCTCTGCATCTCTCATGAATAAGTGAAATCTTTTAAAAATAAATTAATTAATTAAAATAAAATAAAAATACACAACAAAACCATGGGGGACCTGGGTGGCTCAGTGGTTGAGCATCTTCCTTCAGCTCAGTTCACGATCCTGGGATCAAGTCCCACATTGGGCTCCCTACCAAGAGCCTGCTTCTCCCTCTTTGTCTCTGCCTCGCTGTGTCTCTCGTGAATAAATAAATAAAATCTTAAAACAAAACAACCCTAGTCTCTTTATATATATTTTTACCTATTTATACACATACACAGAGAGTAATACATTTACTCATTACTCTGAAATCTGCTCACTACAACAAGTATGCCTTTTCCATATTTCTTCACAAACATCATCTCAGTCTAACCAACACCTCTCAGTTGACGAGGAAAGCGCTTCGGTAGCTCTGCATTGAACCTGAGGAGCCGCCACACTGCTGTCCACAGGGACCGCACCACCTGACACCTCCCCCCGCAGTGCCCAGGACTTTCCATCGCTACCTCTCTCAGGTAGGTATGCAGCAGCACCTATGACTTTCTATCTGTTCTGGATTCCAGCCATTCTCCTGGGTGTGAGAGGGTATCCCGCTGTGGTCTGATTCACATTTCCCTAATGATTAAGGATGTCGAACACCTCATCATGTGCTTGTTCTGGGCATCTGGGTGCCACCCTCAGAGAAATGTCTACTCAGCTCCTTTGTTCACTTTTAAACTAGGAGATCCTTCTGTCTTTATATGTTCTAGATATCAGATCCTCATCAGCGGTGATTTGCAAGCACTTCCACCCATTTCTAAGGGTGTCTTCACTCTCTTGGTAGCGTCCCTGAATGCACAAACAGCTCTAATTTTGGTGAATCTAACTGAAATAGTTTTTCTTCTGCTGCTTATGCTTTTGGTGTCATAGCTACAGTCTTTTAAACAACATAATTTTCTTTGTGCAAACTAAAATATTAAATCCTTTCTTTCTAAATCAAGCTTTTGATAAGTTACATAAAGGAGGAGTCATTACACTCAAAGTCTAAGAGGGGAGTTAAAAAGAGAAGGCAGGCCACTGACCTGTTTGCGGGACCTCATGGCTGCTTCTTCCAATGTTTCTGCAGCTTCAAATTTGCCTTGACGTCTGTAAAGTGCCCCAAGGTTTTTCAAAGTAGTTGTAACAGTTGGACTATAAGAAAACAAAGGATACAGAGAACTATTAAATACAAGTTTTAGAAATACTATCAATAACACTAAACACTATCCTCTAAAGCACTAACAGACTATGTTTGCAAGAATTCTTTAAATTTCTTACACTGCTTCTTTTGACTGTAAACTCTAGTTTTTTCTTCTTCCTTTTTTTCTTAAGCTGACTCCACACCCAGCATGGAGCCAAACCCAGGGCTTGAACTCACGGCCTTAAAGATCGAGACCTGAGCTGAGATCAAGAGTCAGATGCTGGGAATCCCTGGGTGGCTCAGCGGTTTAGCACATGCCTTGTCCCAGGGCATGATCTGGAGTCCCAGGATCGAGTCCCACATCGAGCTCCCTGCATGGAGCCTGCTTCTCCCTCTGCCTGTGTCTCTGCCCCCACCCCCATGTCTATCACAAATGAATAAATAAAATCTTAAAAAAAAAAAGATGGTTCACTGCCTGAGCACCCCCCCCCCCAAGGAACCCCTCTAAAAATTTCTTCCATCCCAAAGGATGCCCTGCCTTGTCCCTCTCTGAAGCTTCCCTCTGCACGGCCAGTGGGATAGGCTCATGTCAACAGAGATGTCTGTGCTGGCTCTGTGTGGTGACCATCACAATTCCTCTGGAGGCAGAACTTACTATGTATTGGGCAGTAAACAGGACAAGGTGTTTCTGGTGTTGCTATTCACCTCCTGTCCTGTCCACAAGGAGAGGGAAGCAGAATGTGTGAGTGGGGTTGCAGGCAGAGAGTGAGTGTGCACAGGGATGGAGCACTTCTGCACCCCTGACAGCTGTCTCACTAAAAACCCAGAAATAAACCTACATCCTTTCAGTACATATTAAGTCCTCAAAAAGCCACTCTTCTTGCTAATGATCATTGCTTAAGGTAGAGAAATAAAGAAGCTATGCCTTATGTCTGAGACAATTATACAGTAGTAGTAAAAATAAAGCCTATAAATTTCAGTTTTTATGGTAAGTGCTATGGGGAACCCAGAAGAGGGTTCAGATCATTTTCCTGAACAGATGACTGGTAAACTGGTCCTCTAGGTGGAGTTACAGTTAAGAAAGGGAAAAGTCCTCCGGGGAGGTGTTTCAGTCAGGAGAGGAAACAGAGGTGTGGGCAGCAGAGGCTCACAGGGCCAGCAGCCAAGGACCTCACGCTGCCCTCTGCACACCCGGAGGCCCTGAGGGCTGCAAAGACGAGAGGTGCAGGGGAGGGCGAGGCTCACATTTGCAGAAGGCTGGCCTGCCTCCTGAGTCTGTTCCAAGGATGGTCGCCCTGAACACCACCTCCCTACTCAGTTATCCCTTCTCCTGATTTGGCAGTTAGCCTCAGGCAAAGTCGGGCTAATGGACAGAACTCAGATTTCACCCATGTTGCGGAGAGTTGCATGCAGGTACATTACCTCCTCCACAAAGTTACAGGGTTTTGCCTGGAATCTGGGAGCCACATGGGACTATGCATGCGCACCACCTAAAGGAATTTTCCCTGCTCATTCACTCACAAGCTGCCCTTAAAGCACTAACACCTTCCAAGGCAGTTCTATTTCTTCAGATAAAAGGACATACCTATCAGGGCACCCAAGTGGCACAGTCGGTGAAGTGTCTGACTCCTGATTTCGGCTCAGGGTTGGGAGATTGAGCCCTGCATCGGGCTCTGGGATCTGCCCTCAGCGGGGAGTCTGCTTCCCCCTCTCCCTCCTAATCTGCCCCTCCCCCTGTTCACTTGCTCTCTTGCATTTTATCTAAAATAAACAAATAAAACCTTTAAAAAAAAAGAAAAAAAGACATACCTATCAACTTTGCAGGCTTTGTACCAGCCGCCATACTCTCCAAAAGATGTCCCGTCCTTTTGCTTTCCCTAAATTATAACAAATGAGTCATTATCTTTAAAGCAATATATCCAAATCAGAAAATTTCTCAAAATAGTGTATTCTTACTTTGCATTCTTCTCTTTCTTCAGCGTGCATCCAAATGGGTTTATTTTCGTCTAGGGGAGAAAAAATAACATACTATAAAATTAAAGCTTAATAGGGCACACTGAGTAGAGGCTGTCAAGTTCCAATGGTTGCAAGGTTTTTAGATGTTATTTCTTACAGCTTCAACAGAAGAAGTTCACAGTGGAGCCTAGGAGGGTAGAAGAAACAAACAGATGGGCGCTCACGTGCAGCGCTGTGAACAGAAAACACACTATCCAATGTACCCAGATAGGGCAGGCAACTGTCAAAGAAGCTGACAAATGGGGCAGCCCCGGTGGTGCAGCGGTTCAGCACCGCCTGCAGCCCAGGGTATGATCCTGGAGACCTGGGACTGAGTCCCGCGTCAGGCGCTCGGCATGGAGCCTGCTTCTCCCTCTGCCTGTGTCTCTGCCTCTCTCTCTGTCTCTATGAATAAATAAATAAAATCTTAAAAAAAAAAAAAAAGCAGCAGCTGACAAATGCTGTGGCCCCTACAATGAAACTTTTAATGCTAGAATCCTCACATACGCTTGGGAATGTTTAGAATTTGAAAATGCTATCATTAAACAAAAGTCTAAAAAAAAAAAAGGGTAAGATGCAAGGAGCCAAAATAGAAAAAGATACTTATCAATATTCTCTTAAAGTCTCCTTAATTTTTAAGAACCTTAACCATGCCATTCCATCCAGTTTCTAGACAACCCTTGTACCCACACCATGGAGGATAAGCAATCACAAAAGTGAAGTTTCTGAAAATACTTTTATGACATGAAAAATGCTTGAGGTACAAGTATGAAGGAAAATAAGTATGTGGGACTATACATAAAGTATGGTTTTAAATATGTAAATTAATCAGCACAGAAGGAAGGAAAGACACTACGATCGCTAAAAGCTGTATCTGGGTGTTGAAATCATGGGTGTTTTTCATGTTCCATCTATGCATGAATTTTCAAGGTTTCCTACGAGGACCTATTTTAGGTTCCAGAGGAAGAAACCTGTGCTCACAGCCGGTCTAGCCACTAACTACCAAACCATGGACAAATCACTTCTCTACAGTGTCCTCACTCCCTAAAATGGGTGAAGGTTAGACCCACTTCACCAGACTGTTCAGAAAATTAGACATGATTACACACTGAGACTGCCTGACAGAAAGACTAATGTGTGGCTATTTTTATAATTATTACTTGCCATGTTATAGGATAAAACAAATACTTGTCTCAAATATTGGTTTTAAGAGAGTGAACAGTATCTGAAACTTACTAACACTGTACAGTTTTAGCTTTATCTAACTAAAGTAATTCCATTGCTACAATACCTAAGTATGCAGCAAGCTAACAGAGCACAACTCCCAGACAACACAACAGGTCACATACATCAGCGTGTGCACCAAGCAGCAGGGGCCGCATGAGGCCGGAGGTCACACACCGATGACAACAGGACACATCGTCATCTTGCCTAAAGAAAAGATACCTTTTGTCCTACGCTTTAACATTTGTATGGAGGGCAAGTCCAAATACAGGAAAACTGTTTGTTTGTTTTTTTAAGGAAAACTGCTTTTAACTAGAACCCAAGTGGACTTCATGCTATTTTTAGCAAAGAGCAGCTAGCCAATCATAAGTATTTCTCCAGAAGAGACTTTTTTAAAAGAAGTATTAAGAAATGCTGTAGAATCACTACAAAATCCACACAGCCTCTACAGTTTGGTGAGGATCCATGGCCCCATCCTGCAACAACTCCAAACAAAATCCCGGGGATCCTTGGGTGGCTCAGGGGATCCTTGAGTGGCTCAGCAGTTTAGCACCTGCCTTTGGCCCAGGGCATGATCCTGGAGTCCTGGATCGAGTCCCACGTCGGGCTCCCTGCATGGAGCCTGCTTCTCCCTCTGCCTGTGTCTCTGCCTCTCTCTCTGCCTGTGTCTGTCTCTCTCTCTTTCATGAATAAATAAATAAATCTTTAAAAAAAAAAACAAAATCCCTGCTCACAGGGTGAGCTTGGGCATTGCTATATTCTGAGAGTAACTACTGTTCCACTTACCAATGGAAAGAAAAAAAAACTAATACACTTGAAATATTTTTCAAAAGTGACTTCTAGAAATTCTCTATAAATGAAAACATTTATTAAGCAAAACGTCTCTCCCCATGCATCCTGAGGTTTCCTGCAGACCAGTAACAACTGTCCTCATTCCAAATGCCTTATGTAACCCAATGCAGTGGGAAATGCCTTATGTGACAAATATTGTTTTATTGAGCAATTTAAATCTTGTTATTTATTCCAAAACTGTATACACAAGCAGCCCGGGTGGCTCAGCAGTTTAGTGCCAGCTTCAGCCCAGGGCGTGATCCTGGAGACCCGGGATCAAGTCCCATGTCAGGGTCCCTGCATGGAGCCTGCTTCTCTCTCTGCCTGTGTCTCTGCCTCTCTCTGTCTCTCATGAATAAATAAATAAAATTAAAAAAAAAAACTGTATACATTAAGTACCTATAATACTTTAAGGAATACAGAGACGGGCCTTGGCTCTTTTAAACAAATATCCCAGCAGGCCTGAGGTAGGGTCAACCATTTGCATTTCTGACAGGTCCCATGTGGTGCTGATGCTACCGGTCCCCACTGGCACTTTGGGAACCAGGATAATAGAACAATTCCAGAAAGTCTTGATGCCTCCAAAGAGGCTTTCTAGAATTAGTGGTTGGAGCTGTGCATGAAGCCAGCCTGGACTCGAGAGAGGGCAACACAGGAAGACAGGGCAGATGGCCCATCACCTCTCACCACAAGGCATGTGGCCCCTCAGACTGTGTATGTAGGTCAGGGCAAGTAAGCAACCATTCACCGTGTTCATTGGATGGCAGATGAAGGAATGAATGAACCTATGACCTCTCAGACTGCCATGTCCTCTTCTCCAAGCACTATGTGCAAAATCATTTCTAAAATCCCAATTAAATTCTACCCTGAAAATACGGTGATGACTTGGGTATTACCAAGTTCCAGCAGGAAATGAGTATTTCTAGTGCATCCTAACAACTGCATCTGCTTGGAAACACCAATACAGTTCTTACCATCTACAGAACCAAACTCCCTTTCATGTGCACGAGTGAGAATCTCTTTGTACAGTGTTTCTGCTTGCTTGAATTTTCCTTGCTTCAGATAGCAGGATGCCTTAAAATAAAAGAAAGAACTTAGTAATTTCATATGTAAATAAAACACACATTCTTATCTACAGGTTAAACAACAAAGCTCAGAGTTCAAAAAAAGGGAGCAATTCTGGCTCTACCTAGACAGTGTACCTCTGTCAACATACCAGGTTATTTTTCGTTTTGGCCACGTTGGGGTCATCAGGCCCCAGTTTTGTTTGGTAGATCTCCAGAGCTCTTTGATAATAATATTCGACTTCTTCGTACTTGCCCTGATTCTGGCACAGTAAAGCCAAGTTGTTTAACTGCTTGGCAACGTCAGGGTGATCCTTCCCCAAAACCTGGGAACAAAAGAGAGTGTATTAGAAACACCCATCTGTGTCAGTGCTATCCAATCCATTCTACACCTACTATGAGAAGGATGCTTCTAAACACAAACATCGCTGTGCCTGATGTCCAGGTACACAGCGGGTCCTGTCCCTGTGCTGTGCACAAATAAAAAAAGCTAGAACTCATACTCTTGGCTGGCAGGAGGAACTGTACTGATTTCCCTACACGCACTCAACTTCCTTTATCTTTACAGTAACCCCACATGCACACTAGCACAGGTGGCACGCAGCCTGAAACCAGGAAACAGCTGTACAAAGACTACATTAATGTGACTACAAGTTCTGGAAGAGCACTTGCTGACTCCAGCTACTGCCCAAGACGCCTTTCTACACGTGCAAGCCTTCAAAGAGAATTTCCAGCTCTTGCACTTGGCCCACTTATCCCTTCCCAGTAAGACCTGGCAGTCCTTTGCATTCACCCTAAACCACTTCCCCTCACAGTTCAAACACCACCTTCAGGGCTCTTCAAAGTCATGTCCCACATGCCTGATTTCCTTCCCCCAGCCCGCCCAACCACGACCCCCTCTAAATGATCAACCCTCAGGGTCTTTGCCAAACCGTCAGAGGGGATGCCTCCCTACATGTGACTAGGGAGCTTCAGCCTGTCTCCACCCATGTAACTCACAGGCACTGTGGTTTTTTTCTTTCTTTCAAGTATCACTACTCAAAACCATCTTATTCATCTGTATAGTTCATCATCCATTCTAATGTAAGCCCTCAGAGTGCAAATTCTGTCTCCTTCACCAATATAACCTCAGCAAAAGTGCTGACTCAGAGATGAGTAAACACTAAATCCCCTACCTAGTACCTGGAACAAGTGATTCATTCTCTCAACGTGGTGCCCGCCTTTACTGATGTGGTCGTCAAGGAGGCATGCCGCCTGCCCATCCCTCTCTCCATTTCCTGCCTCTCCCTGCCTGCGGAACTCCATTCCAACACTGGGAAGCCATCCCGTGTGCCCCCATGCCTGGACAAGCCCCTCCTATACACACTCCCAGAGGTCCATCCTGGAAGTCTGCACAACCTGTGCCCCAGGGAAGGAGTGGGCATTCTGATTTGTGAATCACTGGCTCTAACCAACCAGGGGCCCCCAAATCCTCTGCACACATTGCCAAGTGAGTGAATGAAGGTAATTATGCATAAATGAACCTGGCAGATCACTGTATAGAGTTCATAGTCCTTAATTTGATACTTATGTGTTCTCTTTGAATTTATCCCCCGTCTGCTCAAAATCTGAACATTTTAATTCATAAATATCATGCAGATGATAGCATGAGAAAAATTTTCCTGCATGATTTCATGATGAGCCCCTTTTCCCAATTCCCTGCCATATGACTGAAAAATAAATGATCTTGCAGTATCACTGGTAAATAATCACAAAAAATACCAACTTAAAATACTACCCCTAGTCATTCACGGCACTTAACCACCCAAGAGCCCCCTCCTCACTCCTTTTAAACACTGGTCTGAATGAGCTAACCTGGCTGTGTTTTGTGGGCTGCCCACCTTATCCTTCATCAGAGTTATTTTCAGTAAATGGTCAGTCATGATATATCACAGTGGTCATCATTCCTCAAAACTTAAGACATGACATGTTTAGAAAGCACAAAATGGGGACGCCTGGGTGGCTCAGTGGTTGAGGGTCTGCCTTCAGCTCAGAGTGTGATCCCAGGTCCAGGGATCAAGTCCCATATCGGGCTCCCTGTGAGGAGCCTGCTTCTCCCTCTAGGTCTCTGCATCTCTCATGATTAAATTTAAAAAATCTTTAAAAAAAAAAAGAAAGAAAGAAAGCACAAAATGCTACATCTCAAGACAATGTGACCCTTCCTTCACCCGCACCTTTTCTCTGATCTCCAGAGCTCTTTTACACAGCGGCTCAGCCTCCTTGTACTTCCCTCTTTTGCCATAAAGCACTGCAAGGTTATTCAGAGTTGCTGCCACCTACACAGAGAAACAGCAAAGAATGGTAAACACCACCAACCGACAGGACTTCAGATCTCACACATTCAATGATACCCAGTGTGCATGGTGAACTGTTCTCCACTAAGTGAAGGAACAGGACTTCAGTTAAAAGCAAAAGAGCAATTCACTATATACAGATTATATGAAGTAAATTGGAGAATACTGAAATTAAATAATCAATAAACACAATGATCTTGATTTTTTTTTAATTTCGCTGGAAGCCACAAAGCCAACCCAAATATAGATCTGTTTCCAAATCCAGCCAGATTTCAAGAAAAAAACACAAATTCTTTAGAAAAAAATTTACAGAAGTACATGCAATTTGATTAGGATAAAAAAAATATAGTACGTGATCCATTTGAAGTGGTGATGACAAACAAATTAAGTGTGCACTGGTATATGCTAAACATCAGAGCCACCACTGCTGAAGCTCAGCACTGGTATTGAGTAAGTGAAGACTCCTACCTGTGCCATCTAGTGAAAAGGCAGCTCTTAAACTTTCCCTGTTGAGTTTAATATTAAAATGAGTTGGGTAAAAAAATATATTAGGGAAAATGAAATATAAAAAGAAGGAAAGAACCAGATATACAAACCGCGGGATGATCTTTGCCCAAAGTTTTCTCACGGATGGCCAAGGCATCATTCAGTAGATTGGCAGCATCTTTGTATTTATTCTGGTCTCTAATTTGAAAAACATACATTAAATATTTTGGATATAGCTTACTATATGTTTTTTAAATGTAATTTTGAAATTAAAATAACTAGAAATAATAAAATAAAAGTTAAGTTTTAGCTATATAAAAAATAAAAGTCAACTATTAAAACTATTTAAAAAACTTTGAATATAGAAGAAAAAAACTCCACCAATAAACGCAAACTTGGAATCAGGCCTGATAAGCTTCTGAAGTCAGCCCTCCCCCTCTGGGTCACTGGGACGATACTGCACCCACACTGCAGAGCTACCTGGCAAGCGCCAGCTGCACGGCACAGAGTACGTGAACCAGTCCAAAGGGTGAGCAGAGCTTCACCTGGTATCAAGCAGAACTGATTCCAGCGTCCGAGCCCAGGCTCTTCCAGTTACTGGCTGCAAGGCTTTGGGACATTAAGCAGCCTCCCTCAGTCCCAACAGACCCATCTAGAAAGTATGTTACCTACCTCACAAGAGTTGCCCTAAGAGGCTAAAACATACACTACAAATAAACACAATACACTGTAGTTTCTTAATCTGGTACACAATTTGCTTGCTGTTTGCTTAAGGAGGAAGAGGATGTTTCTGACTTCAGTAAGACAGAAACCCAGCCCCAGCCTCTGCCCTTGTTGGTTTGTGTGCTGACAACATGACCACAGAAGACTGAACGCACATGTTCCTTAGCTGCGTTGTATGAGAAGACCCACAAGGCTTCGCCCTGCAGAAGCCAAGTTGCCCTATAAGACATGGAAAGGGCTAATGGGCCTCTGCAACCTCTGAAGCACACAAATTCTGGTCATGTGAGATTTTTTTCTTCAATTACGCTACTACACATGATAAACTGGCTCAAATATTGTGTAAAACTGTGCAAGCATGACAGAATCTCAAGAACTACTAAAACAGTTAAAACCAGTAACAGCAACAACAGCCTAAAAGTTTATGGTGGCTAAATGAGGCAAAGTGTACTGAGTGCTTCTCTAAACTGTGATGGGCCCTAAAACGTCAAAGGCTACTAATTAATTAGCCAGAGCAGCAGCACTGGTTCTCAGGCATGGCCCCAAACTGACAACAGTCACCTCAGCTGGAACACACACCGAAACCCAGCCCTTCCCCCAGAAACTAGCAGTGCAGCCCGCACTAATTTAACTAGCCCACCAGGAAATTCAAACTGAAAATGAAAATAAAATTACGCCACCACATGAGTGAAAATCTTAACAGAAAAATGGGCTAAAATAGCAAAGAAAGATGAATGAAACCACATGAACGAGGTACAGGAATAATCTACGCTGCCCTGGCAGGGATGGTGTAGCCAAAGCAGAGTGGACGCCACCTGCCTGAGGAGTACTTTGGCCTGAGGTATAGACTGTGTGGACTCAAATCCACTTTAGGAACTCATCCTTAAAAAATCCAAAATCTCAGACAAAACTCCTAAAGCTGTTTATCAATATATTATCCCCTCCCCTAAAAGCTTCATTAAATGTCCTCTAACACAAGAAAGGTGAGAGGAGTAGTTACAGGCCAGCCCCACGGTGTGGTTCTGAATGTGAATGCAAATATACAGGTAGCTATCCATATGTTTAACTTTTGATTTACACAGGTAACTTCTTAGCCTGCAGTGAAGCCCCAGAATCCCCACCACCCAGCACAGGGGTAAGCATGTGACCACAGGTGCCTACGTGTGATGACAAAAACCCTACATGCATTGCTTAGTTAACTCATTTACAGTAAAAATATCTTAGCGTTGGCCAGAAATTTTCAGATTAGTGCATACCATTTTTTTAAGTTTCATTTATTTGAATGATCTCTACATCCAACGTGGGGCTTGAACTCACGACCCATGAAATCAGGAGTCAGATGCCCTACTGACTGACCCAGCCAGGTGCCCAGTACATACGATTTTTTAAAAAAACCTTTTGAAACAAAACAGAACATTATCTGTCAAGATTTTAAATGTAAATACCTGTGACTAAGGAATCCCTAAAATAGTTTAACAGTAAAAATCTGCAAACTGCCTAAATGTTCATCAACATGGAAACTGTCAAAGAAAGGTCAGAATCATGCCCGAGCCAAAGCACCATGCTGCCCCGGAAGATGGAGGGGCTAGCCAAGGGCAGAGCTGCAGATGTGCTCTGAAGGACTCTTTCTTTCTGGGGTTTTTTTTTCTTTTGTTAAGAAATCACTCGACTTGCCTTTTTGGCTCCCAGAGCAGCGCCATGGTGGTCGGCAAGAACAAGCACCTTACGAAAGGCGGCAAAAAGGGAGCCAAGAAGAAAGTGGTTGATCCATTTTCTAAGGAAGACTGGTACGATGTGAAAGCGCCAGCTATGTTCCATATAAGAAATATTGGAAAAACACTAGGCACAAGAACTCAAGGAACCAAAATTGCACCTGATGGTCTCTGAAGGGCATGTTTTTGAAGTCAGCCTTGCTGACCTGCAGAATGAGAAGCTGCATTTAGAAAATTTAAGCTAGGGACGCCTGGGTGGCTCAATGGTTGAGCATCTGCCTTCGACTCAGGGCCTGATCCCAAAGTCCGGGAACCGAGTCCTGTGTCAGGCTCCCTGCATGGAGCCTGCTTCTCCCTCTGCCTGTGTCTCTGCCTCTCTCTCTCTGTCTCTCATGAATAAGTAAAATCTTAAATATATATAAAATTCAAGCTAATTACTAAGGATATGCAGGGCAAAAAATTGCCTAATTTCCATGGCATGGATCTTACCCGTGACAAAATGTGCTCCATGGTCAAAAAATGGCAGACCATGACTGAAGCTCATGTTGATGTAAAGACTACCGATGGTTATTTGGTTTGTCTATTTTGTGCTGGTTTTACTAAAAAACACAATAATCAGATTCGGAAGACCTCTTACGCTCAGCACCAACAGGTCTGCCAAATCCAGAAAAAAAATTAAGGAAATCATCACCCAACAGGTACAGACAAATGACCTGAAAGAAGTGGTCAATAAATTGATTCCAGAAAGCATCAGAAAAGATATAGAAAAAGCTTGTCAGTTTATTTATCCGCTCCATGATGTCTTCATTAGAAAAGTAAAAATGCTAAAGAAGCCCAAGTTTGAATTGGGAAAACTCATGGAGCTTCATGGTGAAGGTAGTATAGTTCTGGAAAAGCTACAGGGGAGAAGACTGGTGCTAAAGTTGAACAAGCTGATGGATATGAACCACCAGTCCAAGAATCTGTTTAAAATTCAGACATTTAATGGTGACAAATAAAAACATATTTGTGATGTTTAAAAAAAAAAAAAGAAATCACTCATCTCTATGAATGGCTGGATTAGTTCACTTCTCTTCACTGAGCCCTTCTCTGTCCTCTCCCTCCACTGTCCCTGTCCTTGCTCGGCTCCCATCTCCATATCCCTGAGATCCTGCCCTGCCTCCAGGCCACGGTCACCATTCTGTCCCATGCACCACATCCAACTGACTTAAGAGACCCAAGCAGGAGGCTGCTACTCCCCACAGGCAGCCCAGCACTGCCCGTAGGCCTCCACGGTCAGGCCCAGCTTCGCCCAGCCCACCTCTTGTAACTGCTCTTCAGGTGCTGTCAAGCTTTGCCCAACTAGATTCAGGAATAAACACACACAACATCCTTTACCATCTCCACTTGCTAAAATCCTACTCACCCTCTGAGGCCCCACAAAGTGCTCCTCCCATGGTTCCATTAATCCTTCCCTTATCCTCTCAACTGGAAGGAATTTTTCTGTTCCATGAATACTTTTGTGCTATTTTATTAACAAGAACCCAGTCTCCCTGTTTCTATAATTACATATGAATGTAAACAGCCTATCTTCTAAACAAGGTCCTAAGTTCTTTGGAGAATGCTATTTTGAGCGCTTCGTGTCTGCCAGGCAACACCACGTGTCACACGCCCTACGATACTCCCCTCAGACCCCTGAGTGAGCACTGTAATTGCCTTCATTTTAGATACAAGAAAACTGAGACTCAGAAAAGGTAAGGGCTCTCTCTGGACAACCTCCTGCCCTGTGGCCATCTAGCAGAGATAAAACCTCAATTCTCCTGACTTTAAAGTCAACATTCTGCTTTCTGCTTGAGGACAGGAACCATGTATTCATCTCAAGGGCCTCAAGGGAACCAGCCCAGTCTTACCTATACTTAGGTGTCAGAAAATGCCGAATGGGGACAATCAAAGCAATGAAGAAACATGAATCCTTTAATCCCAACCCACAAAACTGGAAGGGCCACAGCAAACCAATCCTGCCATGTAACTTCTCCCTCGGTCCCCACTTACCCATACCTGCTCTATTTCAGGTGAGTTCGGCTAAATGACACACACTAAGGGTTCCAACATATCACTCCCAGTGCCACGAGGGCAAATTCCTTAATTCCCTTCAACATGTTCATCAAGGCTCCTAAGCAAGGAAACATGCTAGAGTGATGTGACAAGTGGGGACACGGACACAAGCTGGTCCCCAACTTTCAGGGACACTATTCTGAAAGAGAGAACAAAATTCAAATACATCCCCCCTCCCTCCTACACATACACCAAGCCTAGTGAGCAAGTGCTCTGGGGGGGCAGGAGGGTCAGAGGGCAAGAGGAAGCTGAGACTCAGAAAAGAGAGAGCACTAACAAGGCCCTAGGAAGGTATGAAGGCATTTATGGACAAAAGAAACCCAATACACAGACTCAAGAGTTTAGTTCGGCCAGAGTGAAGGATGTATGTGGGCTATAAGGCTGACCTGGGTTGTTCTGGGCAGCATCTGTTCCACAGGTCAGTACCTTTGCTATAGTGCTTGCTAAATATTTTTAATTTAACCCCCTGGCTATTTGAAGAGAAGTGACCAATGAAACTGGCAAAGTAAGCATATACAGGTTTGTAGAAATGTATTGTAAGGGAAAGTTCATTAAAAAATACCATCTAGGGCAGCCCAGTGGCTCAGCGGTTTAGCGCCACCTTCAGCCCAGGGCCTGATCCTGGGTCCCCAGGATCAAGTCCCACATCAAGCTCCCTGCATGCAGCCTGTTTCTCCCTCTGCCCGTGTCTCTGCCTCTCTCTTTGTGTGTCTCTCATGAGTAAATAAATAAAATCTTAAAAAAAAAAAATCATCTATAGGTAAAACTAGTGGATAGAACGAAAGTACTAACCTGTACACCAAGGCCAGGATGTTTAGCATGGTGGCCACATCTGGGTGGTCATGGCCGGAAGTCTTCTCCAGGTCCTCCAGGGCCTGCTTGCAGAGCGGCACAGCCACCTCATAGCGCCCCTGAGAGGCGTACTGGATGACCAGGTTGTGGAGGGTACGCAGCCGCGCTGGGATCTCATAGCCACCCTGCTGCGCAGCTGCCGCCGCGCTGCTATGCTGCTGTTGGACTGCACAAAGTTTCACTTCAGATGTGCTCAAAGGACATTATCCAAACGAAATCATTTAATTAGACCTTTCCTCTCTAGCTTTGGTCCCAGCTGGCACCTGGCCCCCACGCTGTGGGTGCCCACCCAGCACCCCCCTGACGGGCTGGGTAACATCAGTAACTTGTCAGGGTGTGGTGATGTGCCCCATGGTGCAGTGAGACTCCTCCCAGCACCACATAAATTCTGCTTTTCCACTCGGTAAGAATCCACAGATGACATGTGGATTGTCTGTGCGTGCCCCTGTTCTGCAGGGGCTATGCTAACATACTATATCCCAACAAAAAATTATGTTTCTCTTGGGAAAACTAGGCAATCCCAGGGCGCATGTGCCCCTGGGAGGTAGGCATCACGCACTGAGATGTCCACTAATTATGGCAACTACGGTACAGCAGGACAAACCACCTTCTGCGTGTATGTGCTGTCATTCAACTGCTCCCCCTCACAAACTTACTTCCTTGACCGGGGTCGTCGTCATCATTTGGGAAAAGGTCATCCAGAGGCTCTTTGGTGGAATCAGTGTCTTTGTCCTCCTATAAAACCAACCCAGGATAACTTTAGCCTTACAAGTACTATAAGTCTTGAACTGGAAATCCTCAATATAAATATCATTTTAATAAAATCTTAAACAAGATAATCTGGTTTTTTTGTTTTTTTGTTTTTTTTATTTATGATAGTCACACACACAGAGAGAGAGAGAGAGAGAGAGGCAGAGACACAGGCAGAGGGAGAAGCAGGCTCCATGCATCGGGAGCCCGACGTGGGATTCGATCCCGGGTCTCCAGGATCGCGCCCTGGACCAAAGGCAGGCGCCAAACCGCTGTGCCACCCAGGGATCCCGAGATAATCTGTTTTTAAAATGAAACATAGAATTGGGGCAGCCCGGGGGCGCTCAGTGGTGTGGCGCCACCTTCAGCCCAGGGTGTGATCCCTGAAGTCCCGGGATCGAGTCCCGCGTCAGGCTTCCTGCATGGAGCCTGCTTCTCCCTCTGCCTGTGTCTCTGCCTCTCTCTGTGTCTCTCGTGAATAAATAAAATCTTAAAAAAAAGAAATTAAACAAAGAATTAACCACAATTTGGCTTATCCATCAATTTAGCAAAAAGTAATAAAAAGCTTGCTAGATTAGAACTCAAACTCAAAATGCAGGCCACGGGGATGACCAACAGACAGACCATGCTGGCATTTCCATCCCTTAGATTCTTCAATACATGCTGAAGAAGTTCAAATAGAAAAGGGAAACGCTTGCATTTTTTTTTTAATAGATTTTTTTTTATCTGAGAGAGAGCACACAAGCAAACATAAGCAAGGGGCAGGGCAGAAGGAGAAGCAGACTCCCCGCTGAGCAGGGAGCCCTATTCAGGGTTCAATCCCAGGACCCTGAGATCATGACCTGAACCAAAAGCAGATGCTTAACCAACTGAGCCACCCAGGCACCTCTGGGAAACTCTTACTTGAAATAAATTTTATTTGGAAATCAAATATGTAAAAACAGACTAAACTGGCCCATCTCCAACTGCCACAGAACTAGAGGGCCCCTTCCTTGCTCACCACTTCCACCACAGGATCCCTAAGAGCAGTCTGAAACCTGCCAACTTTTTCTTAAGATTTTATTTATTTATTTATTTACTTACTTACTTGAGAGAAAGAGAGAATCCCAAGTAGGCTCCACAACCAGTGCAGAGCCCAATGCAGGGCTAGATCCCATGACTCAGATCCCCTGAGCTCAGGACCAGAGTCAAAATCAAGAGTTGAATGTCCAAACGACTGAGCCACCCAGGTGCCCCTGAAACGTACTGGCTTTAAGTCTGTGACTCGAGTTTCCCCACAGATATCCGACTGGTACAGGGGTAAAAAGCGTGACTGTGGGCAGCCCGGGTGGCTCAGCGGTTTAGCGCTGCCTTCAGCCCAAGGCATGATCCTGGAGACCCGGGATCAAGTCCCACGTCAGGCTCCCTGCATGGAGCCTGCTTCTCCTTCTGTGTCTCTGCCTCTTTCTCTCTCTGTCTCTCATGAATAAATAAATCTTTAAAATAAAAATATAAATCAGAGTATTAAAAAAAAAAAGCGTGACTGTGTACACAATGCAGAGAACAGACAACAGCTAGACCAAATGAGAAATCAGCATCGCTTTAAGGCAGAAAACGTCACTTGCCTCTGGGGGGGTAATCTGAGAATACACAAGGTCACCTTGATAATATTTGTGTCTGGGATGTATGACTTAAATATGCTGAGAGACATGAGACAAACCCAAACTGAGGAACAATCTATGAAGTAACCAGTTTCTGTAATCTTCAAGAATATCTATGTCATGGTGTGAGAAGTAACCTTTTTCTTTCTTTGAAAAGATCCTGTTTCAGATGAATGATGGCCAAGGAGAAGTGATAGCTGATGCCACATGTGACTGTGAACCAGACCCAGACACAGAAATAATGCCATGAAGAGTTCCACTGAGAAAGGAGGACAGTGCAGAGGAGACGAAGACTGTGCCTATGTGAAATGGGACTGACTTGAGTGGGCCCCAGATTCCACAGGCACATGTCCCCATGCTAGGGAAACATGCCCAGCAGCGGCACGGGAATGCAGCATGAGGGACGCCACCTACTCCAATGCGGTTCAGAACAATCACTGAGGTACATCTCGAAAGGAGAGGCAGAGTTAGCTCACTGTTAGCACTCTTCTCTAACCTAGGTATTTTTTCAACATAAAAAGTTTTAATAAAAAAAAGTTTTGAAAGCTCTGATTCAACCAGACCCTCCATCATCCAGTATTATATGGGAATCACTGGCTGGCATCAGTATCTTCATTTATTCTTATTCTCACAGGAGTCTATAATAATAAGTCTTTTAAATCCAAATTCAAGAGGAAATTACAATAACCCTAATAAGACAGGGTGCTGTGGACTAATGCATCCCCGCAAATACCATATACTGTAGCCCTAGCCCTCAAGGTGATGACATTTGGAGGTGGGGCCTTTAGGAGGTAATGTGGGTCAGATGAAGTCATGTGGATGCGGCTGTCATGATAGGACTAGTGTATTTACAGATTTTTTTTTTATGATAGTCACACACACACACACACACACAGAGGCAGAGACATAGGCAGAGGGAGAAGCAGGCTCCATACACCGGGAGGCCGACGTGGGATTCGATCCCGGGTCTCCAGGATCGCGCCCTGGGCCAAAGGCAGGCGCCAAACCGCTGTGCCACCCAGAGATCCCGGACTAGTGTATTTACAACGAAGAGGAAAAGACATCAGATCTCTCTCTCTCTCTCTATGCACACACCAAAGGAGGCTGTGAGGATACAACCAGGAAAACGGCCCTCACCGAGAACCTGATCGTGCCAAAACCCTGATCTCAGAACTGTGAGAAATGAGCCACACAGCTATGGTATTCTGTCCAAGGGTCCAAACTGATTAAGACATGTACTCTGGTGGTGTGAGAAGTAACATTAAGGGAGACTGCATGGAGGACATATAGGAATTCTCTTTACTATCTTTTCAACTTTTCTGTGAACTTAAATTTACTCCAAAAAGGTTTTAATTTTCAGTTAACTGAATCAGATATAAATGGTGGATGAAAAATAATCAAGACTGAGATGAACATCCAAAGAGAGCCAATAGAAAAAGGAGAAAACCAAGATCCTTACGGAACATTCCAAAAACAAGGTAAGCTGGTGAGACCAAGGAGGAAGGACACACAGTGAGGTGGCAAGAGAACCAGGTTGTGTCTTAGAAGCATAGGAAAGAGTTTGAAAGAGGGACGCCTAGGTGGCTCAGCGGTCCGGCATCTGCCTTCAGCTCAGAGCATGATCCTGGAGTCCCAGGATCGAGCCCCACATCGGGCTCCCTGCGTGGAGCCTGCTTCTTCTCCCTCTGCCTCTCTCTCTCTGTGTGTCTCTCATGAATAAATAAAATATTACCAAAAAAAAAAAAAAAAAAAAGAGAGAGAGTTTGAAAGAGAAAAGTCAAGATCCACAGCAGGGCAGGCTACAGTTAGTCCCCGGTCTGGAATACGGATGACTAGATGGGATGCACACTGAACTGAGGGAGAGTTCCAGCAGCACAATGAGCCTGGAAGCCAGACTCAATGGGTTAAAACATTCAAGAGATCTCAAGCTGGAACAAACCTCATCAAGAGCCTCTTTGCATTGTACCTTACATTTACAAAGTATTTTTACATTTTCTGACCACTGTTCTAAAACATACATACAAAATACATATGGCAAGAATTTGTATGATTTGCCCAGGGACTAGTTCCCAAGACCCATAACTTCTGGTCTTGCTCAATGCAATCACTAGAGGGGAGAGGAAAACACTGACATAGCTTTACTAAAATAACCTACCAACTATAACACGGTTAACTCTCAATACTGCATTCCTACCCTACTGTACACTTACGGATGGAGAGATGTCATCATCATATTTTTTTAACTGATTCATGAATTCCAGATGCTTCTTTTCCTCCTCCAGTTGAGCCACAGACTGCTCACTTTTCTGTAATTTCTGCTGTGTATTGGCCAGTTCATCCCGCAGCCACTGATTCTCCTGGCACAGCCGACGAACCTGTGCACGTAGTTTCTGTTTCTCGGACTCAACAGCATTTAGGTGATTGGACAAAGCCATCATAACCTGGAAGACAGAAACGTTGACAGCACTGCAGCGTCCATTCCACACATCTCACCTCCCACATAGGGAGTCATTCTATGCTTGCAGCTCTAGCTTATACTTGCAGATATGTGCTCCAACACAGACAAGTACAAATGCCAATTACCTCCCTTTCCACCCTGTGTTGGGCCACACAGGGGCATGATAAAGAATAGCACATGCTCAGAACATCTACAGAAATGATATGATGTTCTTCTGTTTGACAGCATCTTAAATGGACTAGGAGTGGACACACGGCTACTCTTCTGACAAAACTGTGTATTTTTGCTTTCTATCTAGGTAGCTCCAACATAATTTCTCAGAGACCCTTTCCCGTGTGTAAGAGTGTGTGCACAAGCATGCATATGTGTATAGAGGGCAGGTCACTCTGGGAGGGGCTGGTGATAGAGCCAGAGAAGGGCATACAGACAAATCTGTGATATTCCAAAGTAAGGGAAGAAATTTTTGTAGCAAGCCAGCTAGTCAGAATGCACTGATGCATTCATAAGCTTAGGCTGACATCACAAACTCTGGGGACAGTCTCAGGGGTCTGTCTATGGTGCACCAAACCTGCCTGAGGCATCAGCAAGCTCCTAAGAATACATGAACAGTAAGAGCTGGGCAAAGCCGGCTCCAGTATGTTCTCTCTTTAGACCATGCAAATGCCCTTCCCTCTATCATCCACCTATGTTTCAAACTTAAACTCCAGAAGGTGAGGTTCTTTCCTCCTTTTCTTAACCGTAATATTTGTCAAACTAAAAAGTAAATCTATATGCAAATCACTTTTCAATAACAGAATCTATCATACGATACATTCACAAAAATCAAAGTTCTACAATTAGGTCTGTCACATGGTCTGGATAAAGAACTAAAATCAGAGTACTGTGGAGTAGAACAGTACCCTCTACATGAAAGAGAAATTAGTGACCCCATGGCCCTACTATGCTTCCTTCATTCGGTGTACACGAGGAAAACCTGGGGGGCACAGTCAGTTAAGCATTCAACACTTGGTTTCAGCTCAGCTATGATCTCAGGGCCCTGGGATGGAGCCCTGCATCAGGCTCCACTCTCAGCAAGGAGTCTGCTTAAAATTCCTCTTCCTCTGCTCCTCCCGTTCATGCTCTCTAAAATAAAGAAATGTTGGGCAGATCGGGTGGCTCAGCGGTTTAGCGTCGCCTTCAGCCCAGGGCGTGATCCTGGAGACCCTGGATGGAGTCCCACGTTAGACTCCCTGCATGGAGCCTGCTTCTCCATGTCTCTGCTTCTCTCTCTCTCTCATGAATAAATAAAATCTTTAAAATAAAAATAAAATTAAATAAATGTTAAAAAAAAAAAAAAAAGAGGAAACCTAAGAAAGAAGCCAAATTCTAGAGTATATGATTTTACCCGAAGTGTGCTAGCAGAACCAAATTTTATCAGGGGATTGGGTTAACACCTAGAGGTTTCTTTTCTTTCTGTTTTAATTAATTTACTTATTTTAGGGGTGGAGGAGCAGAGGGAAAGGGAGAATCTCAAGCCGATTTTCCCACTGAGCCCAGAGCCTAAAGAAGCAGGGCTCGAACTCATTACTGTGAGATCACAATCTGAATCAGACACTCAACTGACTATACCCCCCTGGTGCCCCCCACCTAAATGTTTCTAATTTTTCCACCACTATGTCCTGCATGATAAAAACAAAGGTTTAGTCAAAGATATATAACAATCCACTCTTGGAGTACTGCAGAGACTATTAGCTGTTGGCCAATATCCATGCTCTCTTCTTCCTTAGGCTCTAGAACAGGGAACTGGAAGTGGGCAGGGCAACATTCCCCAGTCTCCCTCACTAGGTGTGACCACAGAACCAAGCCCTGGCCAAGGAAATATAAGCAGTGCTGTGTAGCAGTTGGAGGAAGTAAAGGAAGGAGGCACACCCTTCCTGTCCCTTCCTGTCCTAGAATGGGGTCAGGTGACTGCAGCTGGACCTCGTGGTCCAAAGAAAAGGCTGTGTATGGTAGAATGTAGAGGCCCAAGTATCCCTAGTGATGCTGCAGCTAAGCAACCTGCCTAGGGCAGCCTACCTCGCTATTTCTCCTATATATTTCTATGACGTTTAAGCCACGGCTTTTGTTCTTTGATACATGCAGCCAAATCAAACCTGAAATGACAAAGTTACCTCTATTTTGGCTCTTTTTAAAATTTAGACATGACTAAATCAGTCATCATTTATAGAACACACAAACTGATCTGTTATTCTAGAAATATCTTCCCTCTAGTTTAGTTAAACCATATATCTCAATGAATTTCCCATTTCTTCAGACTGTCAAGCTCCTGTTCTTATCTGAGGTGACTTCACTTATACCTGTGCCTCACTCAGGCCAAGCTCCAACATTTCCAGTGACTTTCGGATCATGTTTGATTTCTCTTCCACCAAATTACTTTCGTCATCTTTCTTCAAACACTTCAGTGTCTCAAGTAAACTTTGTAAAATGGAATTGTGCTCATTCTTCAGAGCTTCCAGCCCCTGAATCACTTGCTTTGTCTTAGAAATAATTTCATCCTGTGTAAGCTTCTCCAACTTGTCTTCCTTTATATACACCATCGTGGACATGTTGTCATACATTCTAGAATGGAAAAAAGAAAAGTTAGGTATCTTATCACAGATGTAATTTATTTTACACCTCTAATAAAATACACTGCGTGAAGACTTTTAAATTAACATTTTTATAGGTAAATAATAAATGTGTAGATCTGTGACTTGTTGAAATACTCTATTTCTCTTTTCCCTTTGCAGACCAATTTAATTACTTTTATGCCTTATGCCTGAATTCTTTTTAATGGAAGAAATGACAGCAGTTGAAATTAATGCCAAAGATTAAAAGCAGCAAAATATTCAAATGGCATTTCTAAAGCACAAAGCCACAGTGAACAAAAGTTCCCTGAATGTTTGCAAGCTTTTACCCCCCCCCTTAATGAAATGCGGAAGGGACAGTAAATTCTTGCTAACATATTTACCAAAGCCTTGAGAAGTGGTCACAGTTGGAAGAAGGAAGAAAACCAGCAAAGGAACATGGGAACAATCAGAGTAGCAGGAGAAGGACTAGGTCCGTCTGAAATACGGTAAGAGAGTGACATGAGCAGGATCATCAGTACTGTAAAGATGCACAGAGGACGAAGGCTAGGCATGCCTATATGATCAGATTAACCGAGGAGCCACCAAAATTTCATGAAATCAGTGTCTGGAACTGCCTTTAGAATACCAAAATGAGGGATCCCTGGGTGGCGCAGCGGGGGGATCCCTGGGTGGCGCAGCGGTTTGGCGCCTGCCTTTGGCCCAGGGCGCGATCCTGGAGACCCGGGATCAAATCCCATGTCGGGTTCCCGGTGTATGGAGCCTGCTTCTCCCTCTGCCTATGTCTCTGCCTCTCTCTCTCTCTCTCTGTGACTATCATAAATAAATAAAAATTAAAAAAAAATAAAAATAAAAAAATAAAATAAAATACCAAAATGAGGGATCCCTAGGTGGCGCAGCGGTTTGGCGCCTGCCTTTGGCCCAGGGCGCGATCCTGGAGACCCAGGATCGAATCCCATATCGGGCTCCCGGTGCATGGAGCCTGCTTCTCCCTCTGCCTGTGTCTCTGTCTCTCTCTCTCTGTGTGACTATCATAAATAAATAAATAAAATTAAAAAATAAAATAAAATACCAAAATGAGGTGATCCCTGGGTGGCTCAGTGGTTTAGCACCTGCTTTCAGCCCAGGGCATGATTCTGGAGTCCGGGGATCAAGTCCCACGTCAGGCTTCTGCATGGAGCCTGCTTCTCCTTCTGCCTGTGTCTCTGCCCCTCTCTCTCTCTGTGTGTCTCTCATGAATAAATACATAAAATCTTTTTAAAATAAATAAATAAAATAAAATACCAAAATGAGGGACACCTGGGTGGCTCAGTGGTTGAGCATCTGTCTTCAGCTCAGGGTGTGATCCTGGGGTCCCGGGATTTTATTAAAAAATAAAATAAAATACCAAAATGAGAAGGACGTCTGGATACCTCAGTGGTTGAGTGTCTGTTTTAGGTTCAGGTCGTGATCTCGGGGTCCTGGATTGAGTCTCACATTGGGCTCCCCGCAGGTAGCCTCCTGCTCCCTCCTCTGCCTATGTCTCTGCCTCTCTCTGTATCTCTCATGAATAAATAAATAAAATCTTTTAAAAATAAAATACCATAATGAGAAAGAAAAAAGAGAGGGGCATGTAAAAGTGTCAGCAAATTCACAACTGCTGAAACTAAGCAACAGGTCTTTGTATAACCTCTCTAGGTTTGTGTATGTCTTTATTTTTTTATTTTTTTAAAGATTTTATTTATTCATGAAAGACACAGAGAGAAAGAAGCTGAGACACAGGCAGAGGGAGAAGCAGGCTCCATGCAGGGAGCCCAATGCTGGACTCGATCCTGGGATTCCAGGATCACGCCCTGGGCCAAAGGGAAGAGCTAAACCGCTGAGCCACCCAGGGATTCCCTTATGTATGTTTTTAAATCCCATAATTAAGTTTAAAAAGATAAAGGCCACAGTGAGCATTCAGGTGGCCTCAGGAAACCATCAGGGCACCCTTCAGGGACTGAAGTCAGAGTACATGTCAGGGTGATTTCCTTTAGAGCACTTACTACTACTCGAAATCTGTTTTCATGTATCGTCTTATATTCCCGTGAAGTAAGTAAGCTCTATCTAAAAGGCAAGGCCTCTATCTTGTACCCCACTAAATCTCAGTCCCCTCTGGCCAACTGTGTGGTGAAGGCCCGAACTGACAGATGTTCACAAAGGGAAGCAGTGTCCAAACACTGACTACAAGTTCCAGGACTTGGGAGTAAAGGCTCCAAATAGTCGATAATAAGATAATGTTAGTAACTGTACACGCAGTTTCACGGTGTGTGTGTGTGTGTGTGTGTGTGTGTGTGTGAAACAACTAAAGAGTTTTAAAGACTAAATTCCTTTTGAAATTTAGAGGCATTTAGACTTAGACTATTCAAAGAGATCCATCTCTGTACCAAACAAAGCCCAGAAAACAACAAAAGAGGAGGTAATTCCTCTACCTGATGGTCTGTATTATCATTAGGTTTGTTAGGTATTTATTCAGTTTATGGCTCCCCAACCCCACTGCAAAATCCAGAAGAGTGGGCACCTCACGGTCTTGTTCAGCCCCATAGTCCCAGCCTGTCACACAGTAAATGCTAAATATATATTTACCGAATGAATGAATAAAACATTTTAGGAGCAGCTAGCTTCCAATGAACACATTTCAATAGCATGAGGCTAAAGTGCTAACCTGGGCATGACCTAAGGTTCCTACAAGTGAAGAAGAATCTCCAGAACTGGTGTGTCTACAGAAAGGAGGAAAATCAAAATGAAGGCCTCCCTCTCCACCTTTGGCAGGGATTTCCAAATGATAAAACATTTCGTTCTTTCCTTTCCCCAACTAGAAAATACAAGTGTTTTACTAAAACTCCAAGCTAGGACAGCCCGAGTGGCTCAGCGGCTGAGCACCTGTCTTCGGCTCAGGTCATGATCCTGGAGACCTGGGATCAAGTCCGACATCAGGCTCCCTGCATGGAGCCTGCTTCTCCCTCTGCCTGTGTCTCTGCCTCTGTGTGTGTGTGTGTGTGTGTGTGTGTGTGTGTGTCTCATGAGTAAATAAATAAAATCTATAAACCAATCAATCTCCAAGCTAAGGCCTAGAATGCAGGTGGCCAGGGACGTACAGGCTAACAGAAAATAAGCTAGCCCACAGGTGCACCAAGAGCTAAAGGCACAGTGACAGGAACTGCATGAGGGGAGCATGGAATAGGAGAGGACGGCAGGCAGCTCCTCTAGAGAAGAGAGGTCATCCACATGGACGACACCAGTCCTGAGGTGAGCCCATCCTATCAAAAAAGCAGATCTCTTCCCGACAGGAATGTGGAGGGCATTGCCAGCCACGGAAGCAACCAGCACCAGGCCAGGGGTATGAGAGCAGCCACTGCCCCGAGCAGCTGCTTCAAGCACTGTGAGTGAGGCTCGCAGTGACAAGGCTAGGACAGCTGCCCTCTGAAGGCAGGAGGCTGCGGGGAGGTTGCAGGGTCCTGGCGGGGAGATGACAGCATGAGCACAGCCCATCAAAGATACACTTCCCTTACTTCCCCAGCCCCCTGCCAGCATCAGTCATGCCTCTCCTTGGAAAAGCAGACACCTAGCCAGCAAATTCTTAGTCTTTTCAAACAATATTAAACTCAGGGGAATGCAAGGGAGAGTCTCTAGTCTCTAATAAGAAATGAGAACTTCATTACTCAAACCACCTGTTTTGGCATGAATGCCGAAGAAGTTACGTCAATGTAAGATTGAATCCAGTCCATTCCTCAAAAAGTTAAAAATAGAACTACCCTATGATCCAGTAATCACACCACTGGGTAAAAAACTTTATTTTTTATTTTTTTCTCCCACCGCCCCTCCCCTCCAGCAACCCGGTTTGTTCTCTATAGTTAAGAATTTATGATTTGTTTCCCTCTCTTATCTCATCTTATTTTATTTTCCGCTCCCTTCCCCTATGATCTGGGTTTCCTAAATTCCACAGAGGAATGAAATCATTAAGTATTTGTCTTTCTCTGACTTATTTCGCTCAGCATAATACCCTCTAGTCCATCCATGTCAATGCAAATGACAAGATTTTTCTTTTTTGATGGCTGAGTAATATTCCATTATATATACACCACATCTTCATCCATTCGTCTGTGGATGGACAACTCGGCTCTTTCCATAGTTTGGCTGTTGTAGACGTTGCTGCTATAAACATTGGGGTGCAGGTGCCCCTTAGGATCATTACATTTGTATCTTTAGGGTAAATACCTAGTAGTATAATTACTGGATCATACAGTTCTATTTTTACCTTTTTGAGGAACCTCCAGACTATTCTCCAGAGTGGCTACACCAGCTTGCATTCCCACCAACAGTGGAAGAGGTTTCCCCTTTCTCCACACCCTCGCCAGTGCCTATAGTTTCCTGACTTAATTTGCTGAGTTGGATCTCCCTCCTTAAACCCCTACCCACTGAAGCAACTTCTTCCCTCTAAAATAAACAAAATGTATTTGCTATCTCATCTACAAGGTAACACTTCAAATATTGTATTACAGGCTGAGGGAAATCCAAATCTTCCATTTCCCAAGCTTATACCTCATGCCACCCTCAAGGACTTCAATCACAGCAGTTTCCATGCCCCTCTATCCAGGTCACCATCAGATAAATACACCTAGGTATGCCACTTCCTCAGAGGGAAACCCACAGCAGCATACAAACGTGTTTATGCTGTTCCGTATCTCTCCATTTCTAGACTATACATCTACTCCGTTATAACCAAAGGTAGGCTATATTAAAAAATAATTTTAAAAATTAATTTATAATTTTTTTAATTTTTAAATTATTAATTATTTAAAAATTAAACGTTGGGGGTATGCCTGGGTGGCTCAGCAGCTGAGCGTCTGCCTTCAGCTCAGGGCGTGATCCCAGGATCCCGGATTGAGTCCTGCATTGGGCTCCTTGCAGGGAGCCTGCTTCTCCCTCTGCCTGCGTCTCTGCCTCTTTCTCATGAATAAATAAAATCTTACA